AAGCAACAAAAAGGACAGTAAAATATGAGGAGAAGTTTGGGAGGCTGAACGAAGAAAATATCTGGAAGAAGGTACTGAAAATTGGGACGAAAAATAGATATAATAGAGAGAGAGGGAATTGCTTTAAAGACATTAAAAATATAAGGGTGCAGGGAGGAGTTGAGGGAACGGATAAATATAGGGGATTTGATGAGGAATAAATGCAAATAAATGACAATGGTAGAGGTTTTAGGGAATATAGAGGAGTCAAGATATGTGATAGGGTTGAAGTAGATTTTGTAGAAAGACTGGTAAGGGGATTAGATGCCAATGTATTTAAAAGGAGAGAGGCAAATAAGCATTAGAGTAAAATTTAGGACAGGACTTGTATATGTTAGAAAAAGCAAACAAAAGACGTAGAATATGTGACAGGGAGGTAGAATTTGGGTTAGATGCTATGAATTGATAAATGACGATGGGGGTCGGTTGAGCCGACTGAAACAAGTTTTAAGGAATAGGGGGTCCTTTTTGCTTCTAACAGAGGAAAAAAAGTGGGGCATAGAAGAGTAGCGTGGCGGGGGAAATTAGATAGACACAAATAATGTATTCAATTCAATAAAAGTTACTAATTCTGTTAAAAGGCAGTTTCCATAAATTATAGAACTTTCAATGTATGTATAAACCATAAAAAATGTCATCACACGGTTAAGAATGCTGAATTTTTTAATAGAACAGTTTAAAATGAAATACCAAGCTCTCCACATACTTATTCATTGACTTGTAACTAATTTTAAATTTTCTCGATACTACACACGTCCGTACAATTTTAAATTTGAACCATTAAAAGGACCAGATTTTAATGCAACGTTTTTTTATTCAAAATTCCAATACAAAAAAATTCTGGTATTAGGTGGAAAAAGAAAATTGTTAACGNGATCATCTCCAATTATACATATAATACCTAAGTTAACAACTGATAATATTGTCCAATATGATGTAATTAATTGAAATTATTAAAGAAAAATAAAATAATAGTTGCAAATATTAAACAGTAAAATAGTAATAATTCAAAACATTAAGCAATAATATGCCAATACTTGATAATATTGTCCTTAAATACATATTCATTCTGGTATTAATGAGTCATATTAAAAACTGATATAATTTGTGAAAAATTTTCGTACCTAATTATTAAAGACATTGACTAATGGTATGTGAAATTATTAAGCGTGTGAATCATGTATATTCCAAATATACATATTTATTGACCTGCATACCATTTTCATTCATAATGGAAATTTTACAGATTATCATATTTTCTACTCATACAATTTTATAAACAGTAAAATATACAAAGAATTATGGTTGAGTTTGACTATCTTCATTAACATCTACGACGACATTGCTTCGAGCGAAGATAAAAAAAGGTCGGTATACCACGTTACTTTTATAAATATCAGAGTTAATGATAATGAAACTGAGGATGTGAAAACGATCCTTTGGTCGAAACAATTTAATCAGAGATAATAACATTAGTAAAACTAACAAGAACAACTTGTTATTACTTGTATTTTGGAAAATTTTACCATTATCGTTAACAATTAAACTACTATTAAATTATTAAAATTCTTTATTTGTGAATTCCCAATTAATGTGTGGTTTTGATTAATTTTATATTAATTTACGGATACAATCACTGAATCAACAATAAACCATGAAATATTTATTAAGAATATTTGATTACCTGCATAGGCATTCGGTTAAAGTATCAAAAAAACATATACACCCTAATAAATAAATTTAATTAGATACTTTTACATAAGTACGAATTTACCTTAATAATCTGTAGTAATAAGATGCACGAAATAGAAGGATTTGGTCCTGATAAAGGATTAGTCGTAGTCTATCGCTCGTTACCTAATAAAACACAATACTGAATTACCGAATAATAACAAAATAATAATGTAGCAACACTACGTAAGCTTCATATGAACAAAGACATCAAAGAACATGCGCCTTTAGTTAATTATAACGAGTTTCCGCGTAAGCTACAAGGTGCGATCAAATTTAATATAATATTTTTCAAGTAAATCATATAAGCTTTACTTTAAAGTACGTAAATGTAAGGAAATTTAAAAAAAAATAATAAAAAACGATGTACATACATATTTAGTTAAAAGAGAAGTTTATCTTCCCGAAAGGGGATAAATAAAAATTAACGTATCTTTTTAATTGGAGTAAAATGTTTTCACAATTTTCTGGAAAATTCCCTCACTTCACTCTATTTACTTATCATAAGGAATAAGGATATAAGTTTTCTTTATTATGTCAGTATTTCTGGAACAAAATTGTAAAACAAAGAAAATAGCATGAAATATAGCGGACATTTAGAGCAAAGAAAAGGAGTTTTGGGTTTTTATAGGAAAATATAAAGTAAAACATGAATGGAAGAAAATAATAGTAAACTGATTGAGAAAAAATTAAGCAGTATTTAAGATGGAACAGACAGAAAACAATACAAAAAGTGTAGGGCAACAAGAAAAAAATCGGATCGGATCACTTCTTACTAAAAGTTGAATTATATATAATTAAGGACAATAGATAAGATGAATGATTAGAAAGGAATCAAAAGTTAATGAGCTATAATCTGGTTGGGAAAAGAATAATAGTAGGCAGAATTAGTAAAAAATAGTGGGCTGAAAACTATTGCAACAAAAAAAAATAATGTTAAATATGAAAGGTTTAGGAGGCTGGAAGAAGAGGATATATGGAAGGAAAAATGGAGGAAGAAGGTGTTGGAAATTTGGACGCAAAATAGATATGATAGAAGGAGAAGAAATTGCTTCAAAGATATTAAAAATATATCAAGGACGCAGGAAGGAGTTGAGGTAACAGATAAGTATAGGGGACTTGATGAGGAATACATGCAAAGAACTAATAAGGGTTAAGGTTTTAGGAAATATAGAGGCGTCAAGATATGTGGTGGGGTTAAAGAAGATTTTGTAGAAAGATTCGTAAGGGGATTGGATGCCAAAGTATTTATAGGAGGGAGGGAAATAAGCGTTAGAGCAAAATTTAGGACAGGGGTTGTAAATATTGGAAAAAGGAAGGTGACAGAAGGTTGTAGAATATGTGACAGGGAAGTAGAATATATTGAATGTATTCAAAATATAGAAAATCTCAAGGGAAAAATAGAATAAAGGAAGAAATAAAAATTTTAATGAAAAGAAGATGGGCAGTCGAGCACCAAAGATGGAAACTGGAAAAAGATAGAAGGGTATGGAAAGAGCTGGAACGTTTAACTGAAGACATTGATAAGCAAAAGAGCAGAGAAAAACTGGGAGACATGAAATTCAGACAGGAATATAAGGAAATAGAATACAGAGATTCGAATGGAAGGAAAGGATGGTCTATAGAAGATGAGGAAAATCTTATTCAAGAGAAAAAGACCAGAAAAGGGAGAGGGTTAAAAATGTTGAGTTTTAGTTTTACGATTAAATNAATAATTAATTATTTTCTATTATTAATTATTTATTAGACAACTCAATGTTTGTTAAAAAATTTATTATTTTACATTCACCAATAGACAACTGCTTATAACTATTCTTAATTTCTTACAATTAGTGATGAATTGTTGGTAAACAGTATAACTCCTGGTGCTTACGACTCCATCTTTGATTGTTTAAATTACAATTTTGGGTCTTTCTTATCGTCTTTCACTTTAGATCCTAACATTTCAATTTTCTGCTCTAATAATATTTTGCCTCTACATTTATCAAAAATATTATGCGGGACTAGCCTGACCATTTATTCTATTTAAATTAAAAAAAAAGAGTAAATGAAACTTCACAAATTTGAGAGATAACTACAAGGTAATATTTATGTAAGAATAAATTAATGTGATTAAAAATTGAAAATTGAAAAGACAAGTATACTTATCAGACCAAATTCTAGCTCTCCAACTGAACAAAATTTGTTAATTGCTTTTTCAAAGTAAAAAACAGTATGATAAAAACTGATACGTTAAAATAAAATACAAATCTTCGTGAACCTATTAATTTTGCCAAAATAATGTTTCAAAAAGTTAATAGTAGTGAAAAGAACATTTTAATACACATAGGTATTTAGCCAGACAAATCTAATTGAAAGTCAAAAATTTCCGTCAATATGACGAAGACAAAAGAGTAAAGAAATGTATATCTTTTTCAAGCACCAAGACAAACTTTGTTAATAAAAATTACTTTACCTTAGTCTAGAGCAAGTACTACGTTAATTTCCCATCCTAATTTTCCATATATTGGTATTTAAAGCACTAAATTTTTCGCAGTAACATTTTTCACTTTCACATCACACTTACGTTTAACTTTTAACAACACTGACCGTTCCGAAGCTTCGAGGACTCTCGAATGATAATATATGGATAATACATATCTTATCTACTCTAATGAACCTGCGCTTTGAATATGTGGCGGCTTTTATTTTTAACACATCTAATAATATACATACTATTAAATTATTAAAATTCTTTATTTGTGAATTCNGTAATTTATCTGGCGTGCGCTCAACCCAACTCTCGCTTCTCCGTTTCCGATGCTCTGCACTTATCGCGGACGGACGGAGTAAAAGGAACGAAAAGAACCGCCAAACGAGCCAACCGACTCCTCTGCTCAGTTGCAATTGATTTACCTGCTACAGATACGCGGGTTTCATTTGAAATCTTCAAATTGAAGAGCTTTAAAGCTTTTTGTGAATCCACTAAATTAGTAGTAGAATTAGAACTTAATTTTATTAAATATTTATCTGTGGAAGTATCAATATTTAACACAGGAAGTTACGATGTACAAATATTATAGACCTTTTCGAGAAAAAAAAATTCATTGCTACTACTCTGATCGTTAATTATTATAAGATTGATACATACCTGCACTGTTTGTTGTTCCTAATTCGTAGATTTTCCTCTAAATGAAAAATAAATTGCGCCTTCTCATTCACATACATTTATTAAGTAATTATTGTCAGAATTATTTTAAATGCACTTAAATTTATTACAACTTTCGCATACAAAAGGCATTTATTTGTATACATATCGAATAATGTACAAAGTTTGCTTTCACAGCTTTAAAAAGCCTTATTTTAAACAACGCAATAATATTAGTAATAACAGAAAAAAGAAGCAGTTACAAAATATCTTTTAAACTTAATCATAGATATACGTTTTCTTTATTCATTTAGGCTTCCCTAATCTTATTGTAATCACCATTGCTGATACGTTTTTGTTTCAAATCTTAATCACATTGTACTTTTTTATTTTTTTGTTATTTCAGAGACAACTTATCCTTTACTTAATTTCAAAAAAGTGAAAAACTAAGGCTACGTCCAATAAGAAAAAAGGAAACTAAAATTAAAGCAATGGTTAACAAACAAAGCTATGTATAAACATTTTAGGAAAAGTAGCACCACTTCATATAATAATGAATTTAAATATGTACTTATAAACTTATTCTCTTGTTTCTGTTGTATCATTTGAAGATTTTTGGCTTTAATGACTTGGAAATTATACGATACATGGCACAATTTTGCATATTTGAGTACAATAAATAACGTAAACATCTACAGAACAGACAACCAAATATCGAATGGCAGTTTTCTTCTATTAATACTAGCCTACATAAATGGTTTTCATTTAAAGCTCGTCACAAAGAAAGATTTAAATTATTATTAGATAAAAAAGTGTAAATCAGATGTGCTTTCTTTATTGTTCCCTTTTGTTTCTAACCATTTCTCCTGCTATTCAAAACGAAATTAACATTTCCAAAATACCAACAAGAACAACTCTAAAATGCATGCGTAATTTCGTATTATTTTTACAAATTAGTCGAATAAAACTTATCTACATATAGATATGTATAACAAAAAGCAATTTAGAAGTCTTCTATTTTTATACAACGAATGAAAGAAATGTTTCTGAAACTCTAAAATTTCTACTTCAAATTTCAACTGACATACTTACCCTTTAAACAAAACGGAGCAATAACAAAAGCCCATCAATAATAAATGAATTAAATATTGTGGGTGCCTAATAACATATACATACATTTTACAAATATATATTTTTTTTCCATGAGAAAAACGCAATGTCACTGAGTAATAAATAATAAAATTAAACTTATGTGATCGTAGCTTGGCAGTACATGGGTGTCGTTATGGTATACAGATATACATAAATGATATTAACGAAACAAAGCGTTACATAAATTGAACACATGTTGCAGAACACAAAAATGGAGATTTAATAATAGCTCGTACAACTCTCTAAAATAAGCGATTTCTCTTATCGTTATTCACTGCCAAGGGTAAATAAGTATTAAAAGCCGTCAGATCCAATACGGTGTAAAAAAAGGAGAAATATCGCTAAATTCTTATTTTCAGTTTACAAAATCTTCATCGTTTCCGTCAAACAGATCGTTGAACGCATCATTCTCACTGTAAACACAACAATACAAAATTAGTAAAACACAACTACAAAATAGGCCTAATAGGCATCTATTATATACAACTCAAAAAATACAACTGAATGAGCATTTTATGTTTATAACTTTTTATAATGATCAATTTTTCGTTTTTAAATTTAAAAAAGGATGATATTTTGAAATTGATCTCAAAGATGTTTAAAGCATAACTAAGAATAATAACAGTAAACATATTAGGTAGTCTTCTGTTTACTAGCTTTTGGAATTGGTTAAAAAATAGACCTTTAAATTATGCCCAAATATAAAATTACTTAAAATTATTTAAGAAGGATAAATGAAAAATATCAATTTTTATCAAGTCTATGCAACAAGTATCGCTCTGTAAGCAAATTGTATGTGAAGAATGCCGATTCACACAAACATTATCAGAATTTGATCGTTTTCAATAATTCGACTCGACCATCATCGATCATAAGATCAATGATAAATTATTTATTCAAGTGTTTTTTGTTCTACTTTAATACTCTGTTAAGATTTAAGTAAATTTCTTGGGGATGCTAAGCTATTCCAATACTACAAAAAATTAATTAATGAGTACAAAAATTGTAACGTAATAAGATTGAATAGACTATTCGTATCCTCTCTTTGTTCAAATATTGAGTGAAGAATCTATGCCAGTCAGGTTAAAACTACGTTTTTGGGACTTTATTAAGGTAGGTTTTTGTATATCTAGATATACGTATATCTAATATTGGACGTGTCGGGTTTATATTTCACCCCGCAGTCAAAACTACACATCATACACAAATACTTTTTGTGCGCAAAAGATACGTGGGTTGAAGATGGTCGACTAAGGCACCTTGGACACATTCATATTTCCAGAAAAGTGTTTTGCAAAAGAAGAATAGAATTACCGACCAGGAATAACATAACAACAAGAATAGCTTGCAAGTGGTATTCTGGAACTTAAGGGGCATAAATTGTTCAGACGAAGATGATTGGAACGAATTAAGGAAAAACGGCATATTTAAATGTGACCGAGACCTGGATAGGAAAAGAAAAAGATGTTCAACTAAAGCGATAGTTAAAAACATACGAAATCACTAAAATAAACGCCAAGAGAGAAAAGAAAAAAAGAAGACCCAAAGGAGGTATGGTCACAGCGTTCAGAAAAAAACTTGCTAGACAAAGAAATTATTAACATAAAAATAAACGACGGGTTGATAAGGATAGACTTGAAGACAGGAAGTGAAGAAATAATAGTTATGAGTGTAGACACCAAAGAAAACAAAGAAAATTTTGAAAGGATGGTAAAAATCATAGAGAAAAATAAAGAAAACCGATAATAATAGGAGGAGACTTTAATGCTAGAACAGCTAGAAAAGGAGGCGAAGTAGAAGATGTTACAGGAATAGAACTTATAAATTTAGGCGACAAAACCCTAAATGAAGATGGGAAAAACTAATAAACTGGATGGAAGAGCAAGGTCTGTTCATAATAAATAGAAATTTCACAGGAAATGGAAACACATGTATAACATATGCTGGAGTAGCGGGAAAATCGGTGATTGATTTTGTGGTAACAAATAGAACCGGAGAAGAGAAAATCAAAAGAATGGGCGCACGCGCCTCATACCCTACAGGTAACTACATAAACGTATCTTAATTTAGGACTAAATGTTGGAGTGTTAAAATAAGAAAATCATTTTTACCCTGACTGACCCCAGTTCTTCACTCATTAAGGTTGAGCATGTCAAAACTGAACATTGACTGAATATATTTATACTTTAAATACTTACCAATATCCACAAATTTCTCATGCATTATTTGAAAAAGAAAATTAAAGCATCACATCAGTCAATTAGTCACGTATTATATGAACGACATACGTATGTAGATATATACGATATTTAGAATAATGTAAAAGTGCACATAAGTTCGAGTAGTTCATTTATAAATGAAATAACACATTCATAAACATTTCAATTCAACAGCTCAATTCAACAACTGGAATAATTTACTGTGCAATTAACGCATTGCTATCATGTTGTATACATTTGTTACTTGAATGTACTTATTTTGTACGAATCCAAAAATTTAAATTTAAAGCGCTTTTAAATCCAAGAATAGGTACGCATTTTGATGATGTACATTATTTCTGTAAGAATATTTTACAAGAATGACTAATGAAGTTATAATATTTACAGAAATATGCCGAGATGAAGCAAATTCGATCGAGATTCTGACCTGTTCAGATAAACGTAGATAATATGTACAATAATAATGAACAATAATATACCCCTAAGGTATCATCAGGTGCGTATAAAACTCACGATATGGTTTCAGTATTGTCGAAAAATCTTAATTAACACATATTATTCAATCGTTCCTTTCTTTCCTAACTACGTACCAATTGTTCACACTAACAGTTTCACAAGAGTATCGTATTAAAAAAATGGAAGCAAAAAACGCACAGTACACCGTTCACTATACTACTTTTAAGTCGCACTGTAACACCAGTGGGTCGAGGGTGGATAATGTTCACTGGGGGCGGTTGAACGAAATCGTCGAATTGATCCGAATCAGAAAATATTAATGAGGACGGAATCCATCTTAGCCTTTTGGATTTTGAGGAATTATCCAACAGATATTTTATTAGAAAAAAGATTATTTCAACGATCTCAATAGGCTATGATCGAAAATAACGATGGGCTTAATTTCTGCAGTTGAACTTCGCCCTATATCTTAACTCTTACCGAAGATGCCCAGCACAGTTGGAAACGAAAAGCATGACAAGTGAATTACGCGTTACTTTTGACCAAGATCAATTAGTCCGAAAAATAGAACTTCATTTGGTTATTTTATTTAAATAAAATATTTATTCAATTCCACAGTTTTACAAAGTCTAAATTTTGTAATATTTTTAATACCCTGAACTTTGCAATTGAAACCAAATCTGCAAGCTTATGATAAATACTCTTTGAATTGAATTTTGATGCAATCGAATATACATTTCTTAAAATTTTAATTCCATCATCCTGAACAAATTCTTAATGAGCGTGTTGTATTACGCTAGGTAAAAAACTAAGTGAGTTTATTTATTTATTTTTTGTTGGGTGTAAAAAAGTCAATAGAAAATGTATGTAAATATTTTCTTACCTTGAACACGGTTTAACGTTGACTCCAGAAATTGCCTTTTCGCCAAGATCCAGCGTTTGTGAATTTTGGACTTCGAATCCATGGATGCAACCGTCGAATCCTTTGAGGTATTTTCCTCCGGTCATTAAAGCCAAGTTGGGTGCACCTCCTGTAAAAATTTAAACAGTCATTTAATTTAAGTTTAAAAACCAATTTTTCCTCAAAAAACTTACCTAAATAAATGTTTCCTCTGCATTCTAAAGTATTCGATGGTCCTTCCGTAGAGCCTTCCTTAGAGAAGTCATTATCGATTTCAATAGATCCGATCTTGCCTTTCCTCTTCAAGATAACCTTATGTCTTTCACCGTCATTTATTTTAACCAATTTGTTATAAATTATTACTGGTCCGGATCCTAAATCGTAACTGTACTCCAAATAGCCGTCGACAACTAAAATCAATTCGATTAAACGTAACAAAAATTTCTTAAAACTTTCTTTTTCAAATACCTGCTAATGAGATGTAATCTTCACCCTCTCCGCCTTCCTGAGGTGTTTGTCCATGCCAGAACACAAGCCCATTACTGGAATTGGTCGATAATTCAAAGGCGATCACATCTGATTCGTCGAATTTATCGGAAACCCAAAGAGATTTATTTAATTCCAAATAACCGTTTCCATTAAAATGAACTTCCTGTCTGATGTCAGCACCTAATAGGAGACAAAATTTATTTTCCTATTCCAATAAAAAAATGGCAAAATACTCACGTTCTTCGCAGTTGGTACCACTATAAGTCAAAGGACAATCGCATGTATATGCCGTGGTTGTTCCATTACAAGTTCCTCCGTTTTGACACGGATTTAGTTGTTCGCAAAGATTAGGAGCTACCTCACAGTGACGACCTCTGAAATTGTATGATTTATGTTTATAGTTAGACTCCAATATACTTTTAAAAGTCTATCCTTACCTGTAGCCATTTCTACACGTGCAGAAGTAATCGGTAGACGAAACATCGTGGCATTCTCCATCATTTCTACAAGGTCCACTTGAACACGGCGTTCTGGTAATTAATGGCGGTGGAACTTCGTGGCTGTACGAAACGTCGTTATTTTTAAAATTTGATTCTGTACCAATCGTGCTACAGTCTTGAACATTAGCTGAATCTGTGGCGGACTTCACTATATTCAAATCCAACCCAGAAACGCTTATCTAATAAATTAAATAAACATTTAAATTGAATTTAAACCCATTAAAACCATTTAGTACCTCAGAAATGCATCCGGTGAATCCAGTTTTTACACCGACACCATCGTTAACTTTGACATTATGCTTATCCACTCCGCCAACAAATAGAGGTGTATGTAACGTTAGGGCTTTGTGAGTTCCTGGAATCCTGGAAGAAACTGGAGGATCTCCGTTAACAAGGAGACGTCCTTCGTTCAAGATTTTACTTGCAGTAACCGCTAACCATTCCCCTTCCTTAATCCTCTTTTCGCTTCTCACAATAATCGGACCTATTAAAATATGGATAGATGAAAAGGTTGTCGCAAAGTAAATCCTGAGCTTTCATGTCATGCGCAGCTTTTTATCGTAGGCAGCCCACGAAATTTTACTTTTCTAAACATTTCGTCGATGTTTACTTTACTTTATGATGACTAGTAAGTAACTTGTCATCATTAAAGATGTCGTAAGCAAAGAAAGATGAAACGCTTTGAACAACGAAATTCCATGGACCACAGCAGGAGATATCGAAAAAGTTTAGAACGTCAGAACTATGTAAGTGCTTACCGCTGCCAACATCAAATCTGAATTCCAAATGTTTATCTTTTACTGATAAACTTGCGAAATCTCCGTGTCCTTCTTCACTTTCACTGCAATAAAGAAGAATACCATCTCGTAAATCAGTGGGCTTAAATTTTAGTGAAACTTTAAGTCGTCTTTGTAGTCGGGGTGTTGGATATGCTATGTACGCGTCGTCTTGAAAAGCGGGCTCCACAATTTCTATTTGATTTTCACAACGTTCCCCAGCTGTTCCCATTGGACATAAACATTCGTATCCATGAGCGGTATCGATACATTTTCCACTTCCACAAGAACCTTAACAATTAATTTTATTAATTTATTTAACACAATTGAATGTTTATGTTGCTATCAGAAAATTGTAAGCAACTACGTTTGGGAGATCTTACTTGGTGTGCAAGATTCTTTTTCGCCTTTATTGCAAGTACGTCCTCCATATCCTGACCGGCAAATACAAGTAAATCCTTCTTTGTTAAGTGCTTCTTGACAAACGCCTTGGTTCTCACATGGATTGTCTGTGCACGTTTCACAGGTGGTTATTCCTTCTTTTGTAATAGCTTCCTTAAGTATATCCTGATGTGCATGACCAATTTTAAAGCGGCTAATACAACCTGAAAGAGATACCATTATTAAACACCAAATAGTGCACTTTTGAAAAGTTGTCAATATACCAACGAATCCGTCTTCAATTCCAACATTTTCAGATATTTCGGTCAAGTCAGGAACACCACCCAGGTATAAGTGTTCGGTAAGGACAAGTCCCATAGATTTTCCTTCAGAATGCCCAACAACCGTTTCTTCACCATCTATATGCATAACTGCCTTCTTCCTGTTTCTTGTTACTTTCACCGTATGCCATTTGCCTAATGATAATGGTTTGCTAGATCTCACAGTGGTAATTCCTTCGCCCAAGTTAAATTTGAATTCGGGAATTCCTTCAACTAACGCTAACGAAATGAACAATTTGTGGGAAGCCTTGTTGTTGCTATTGTAGAGAAGTAAACCGTTGGGAGTTTCTGGTTTGAACGAAATCTCGAAGCTGAATTGTAGGTAGTGATCGGGGATAGTAGGTAATGCTATGTAACTGTTAGGAGTTTGGGAAAAGAACGGTACTATTCCGGTAACGACTAAAACGGTTGGAATATCGATTGATTGATCTCCGTTGTCAGCATTGCAGATGTAAATTCCAGCATCGACGTCACGAACACTGTCTATTTCAATGGTACGCTGAAGAAAAGTAATATTGACTTTACTACAAAGTGGAAATGTTGGTTTTGAATAGTCTTACGCTGTTAATGTTAACATTTTCGGGCATGGCCCCTTTAGATTTTGACCACGTATACGACACTGGTGGTGGAAGATCGGTGCGACAATTCATCACAACTGTCGATCCTTGAGGCGCACTTTTGGTTTCGATTGGCTCTTCGCTCTGTACATTATCAGTAGCGGAATCTATAACAAAATTATCGTTAACTACCGGTTAATTATTCGTCAACGACAAACCCCGCAAATTATAGAAGACTATTTTCGATGTTAATCATCCATAGCCATTCTTTATTAAAGTTGGTGAGACGTCATTCGGTTGTTAGCTGGGTTAAAATTAAGAGCGAGCGTTTGTTAATTAAAGGAGTTCTATAAACATGACACTACTACAAGAACGACAACAGAAAATATTTAATATTGTTAAATAGTTTAGAAGGAGAAGTAGTATTGTAAGTTCATTCTTAAGATTTAAAGCCGATTAAATCACACTGTTGACATGTTCCATTAAACTGATATCTCTACTAACCGACGATATCTACGGTGTAATCTTTGTGAATATATTGTTGACGATATCTGGCCAGACAACGATAAATTCCGGCATTTTCTGGTCTCAATCGTGAGATACGGAGGAAACCCCCGCTACGTTGGATATTGTCCGTTAAAGGACCAGACAGTTTACTCCAAGATACAACTTGCACTTCGGGAGTTCTCGAATAACAGTTTAAGTCCAAATTATCTCCGATGCGACTTACTGGTGATGAAGATGAGATGAATACCTCCTGATTTGACTCGGGATTCGGATCTGACAAATGAATCTCCTTGAGCAATTTGCATTATCTTTTATAAAGTATTTCAAACTAACAAATAAACCCAAAACAACTACAGATTGGAGAGAATTATGTCTAATAATTTGAAAGCGTAGGTATCCGAAATAGAACAAGGCAATAAGAAAATTAAACTTCCAAGCTGAAGCCATTTTGAAAACCACTTCTCATACAGTACAACACTGACGAAGTTTTGTTTTAACAAGTAATTAGTAGGTACTGTATGGTTTTTATGGGTATTAAGTTGTACAAATTAAAGCTTACGCTACAAGTTTAATTCGCTACACGGAATGCTGATGAGCTTAATATTTACGACACAATTTAGATACAATAGATACGGAAGCTAAACGAAATCACTGTCAATTAATAAACATACATCTAAAGCTGGAAAACATTGCGATCTCATGAGGTTCGACAGAAACTGTATTTTTCAAATGAACTGGGGCCTATTTATTTTAGAAATACATAAAAGTCAAATTGAAGAAGAAGAAAGACACAAAATTCACTAAATCTACTAAAAATCTAATCCCAAACAAAGTAAAGTAATACCTAGAAGTTGACTCTTTATAAGCGAAGATTTGTAGAAGGGTAGTGCTAGACTGGGCAATTTTGACCCCAGATATTTTTGGATTATAATTTACTCCAGAGATAAAAATGTTCAGTCTCTCAGAGTCTCTGAAAGCGAGACTCGAGTCTCCGTCTCTCATCGAGTCTCTCTGATTTCGCAGAGAGAGACTGTCAAAAAAACTGTTTAGCGTCTCTGAACGAGAGACTCGAGTCGCTCATAGAGAGATCTTCGTTTCGTATCCAGTCTCTGAACGAGAGACTCGAATCTCTGAACAAGAGACTCGAATCTCTCAATAAGTGGTGGTTCGATAGACATGGTAAAAAGTTCAACATATTTCAGAGATCCCAGTCTTTCTATGAGAGACTCGAATCGCTGAATTAACAATTTTATCGTTCGAGTCTCTCATATAGAGACTGTGGGAGATCCATAAAAACACCTAGACAATAACTGAGAGACTGTGAAAGACTGTGAGAGACGCTCTCAGAGACGTTGAAAGACTCTTAAAGACTGGAGAGAGACTGAAATTTTTTGTCTAGGGCTTGTAATACTAAAATTGTAGTCATCAAACGTCTTATTAACTATATNACATTATGATAATAAGTGAACTTCGAAGTCCAGTCTAATACTATCAGGGAAGGAAAAGCTGTATGACTTGTACATTTTATGGGGATATTTATCAAAATATATATGTTATAAATTAAAAGTCGTTTCTGTCTAACCTCAGAGGAAAAAAGGGTCTAAAACTACCCCATCCCGAAACCAGCCACAGTGGCGAGGAGGACGACACGAAGAGAGCTAGAAAAAACAGGTAGTTTTTTTTTTATGAGAACAAACCCCTTCGTTTTCTATCGATGCAATTGAATTCGTCAGATCGGTCCGGGCAATCTGGTTTTTTGTCGCATATGAAACTTAAAGGTATACACGTGCCATCGGAACATCTCCATTCTCCATGACTGCACCCTTTGTCCGTTTCTAATTGGTCAAGTAATGATTTGAACGAACCGAAATAAATAAAACAAAAATAAAAAAATATGTATATATATAAAGAAGACACCTTTACAGTCAGAAGTAAGAAAAAGAATTTCGCAGAAGTCTGCTTTTATTCAATCGATCCTATTTATAGGGGCTCAAAAAAGAAAAAGTGAATAATTATGAAAACAATTTAAAGATTTTACTGTTTTGTTACAAAACAAAAGCCACAACGGATGTTTCGTTAAAATTTGGCTTCATCTTCCGGTACATATAATAAAACTGAGTTGTTCTAACAACATTAAAAGAAAGGTGAAGTGACAATGTTTCTATAAACTTCCTCTCCCTCTGCCTATTCTTTAGTACTGTTATTTAAGGATCGATAGATAATAAAACAACTCAGTTTTATATGCTAGGTAGATAATCATAGTCTGATGAAACCAACGATTAGCGAAACGTTTGCTATGTTTTTTGTTTTGTAATGAAACAATAAAACGTTAAGTGAACGTCTTTAAATTGCTTTCGTATTTATTTATTATGGATTTTCGTCAAGTAAGAGCTAAATCAATCTACTACATGAACAGAAAGTGCGCTAACCTGTTACTTGTAAATTAATGTAATCGCTCGATATTCCGCTATCTCCTGATATTTCGCAAATGTAGCGCCCGGCATCGGCAAACTGCAAATTATTTATTCTCAAATATTCTCCACTGATTTGTACAGATTCCGGAAGGTGATTATTTTCCCTGTACCAGCGCATCAATGGACGTTCAGAACTATGAATTTCACAACGTAAAGTGATTGAGCTGCCAACAACCGCAGATTGTTCTCGATTTTCGGCAGTAACTAATGGTCCTCTTGCACGTTCTGACAAATACAGGATAAATTTCGTTACAACTGAATGACTTTCGTGTGCTCTCGTTTACCTTCTACTATAACTTCTGCTACAGCATCGGCTTCACCGACAACATTGGTAGCACTACATCGGTAACGTCCAGCATCTGAATTTTGAATTCCTCTGAACTGCAAATGTCCTTCTTGAGCATAAACTGACGCCGGCATGGATCTATTCAAAGCTGACCAAGATATTGAGATTGGCTGTTTACCAGTAGCAGAACACTGTATGTACACATTGTCGCCAGGACGCACTATTTGTCTTGGAGGATCCAATGTGATCCTTGGAGGTTCTAAATAGGTTAACAATTGTCAGGGACTTTTACCTCACGCCTTTTTTTACTAATAAAAAAATTTTGGGACGATTTTTGTCTGGTGCCCCACATGTAGAATTACCACAAGGTTCTACTTTCTGGAGGCAGAAATCGAGAAAACCTTTTCAGCAAATATTACGACAGGAAATTTTTAAAGGTAGAGGTAGTTCAGAATTTCATGAGCCTTGGCCTCGAGTTTCGCAGTGGCAAAACTCCTCCCGTTCATCGACATTGATTGTCAGTGTTCACAGTTTATAAGGAGGTCTATCTCATCTTGTATAAGATGGTTAACGACGGAGTCGACGTTTTCGTAATGCACGATTTGAATGCAAATCCTCTCGTGCATATGAAGGCTCATGGGATTTTGAAGTAGCTCTAATGAAGATGATGAAAATATCATATTGTTCTTTGCTGAAAAATTGGTTCACATGATCTTGATTCCAGAAAGTAAATCGTTCGTAAATTGTAGGACAAAATATCCAGTAATCGAAAAAATTAGGGATCCGCTCGTAATGTAATGCAGTTTATATTCCCACGCTTTACAAAATTTTAGGCATTATTGTTTCCAATATTTTGTAGAATTATTCATATTTCATTAAAAATTATCACCTGTTACATCTAGTATTGTGCCCAAACTAAATATGACGTTGTTATTATGAACCCCTAGACATCTATATTCCCCTGCATCGGCTTTCTGAACATTGTCGATCACCAGTACTCCTCCTCTCTGTTCAACTCTTGCATAAAGTGGTAAAGAGGCGTTATCACTGCGTATCCAATTTAAGTAAACGTTTTCGTTGCCTATAAAATATTTTTGCTTTTGTAATATTCGACGATCTGATCAAGATTAAGAAACTACCTAAATTGCTGGTTTGACATCTTAATTCTGCGCGTGTTCCAACAGGGGCAACAAACACTAACGGTTTTGAAGAGTCTTCATTTCCCGATTTATAATCGGGATTGTATGGTGGAGGTCTAGATGGTGGATAGTCATCATTTCCAGCCCCAGCATCTTCACCTTTAATTGGTATCAAATAAATCAAATACTGATAAGAAATTAATACATTTTATCTATGTAACAAATGGGATAAATATAATGAAAATCATAGAAACAGTAAAATTAAACACTTCAAGAAAATGTTACGTGTTTTTCTTACATATGTGCCATTGACGAGTCAATTTTGTTCCCTAAAACTATCACTAAGGCAGATTATTATTTGACTGAGAATATCTTTCGCGATAGAAAACAAATTTCGTCATTAAATTGCGATTATAAAAAAGAAATTAGTTTTCTCCGAGTTTCAGAGAAATTTCAGATAGTTAGACATTAATTTTAATTAATATGATTTTAGGTTTATCATGTAAAATGAGAAAACTTACCTTTCGAAGCTGTTGTAACAGGTTAGCCAGATTAGTAGACAGGCAAAATGGAATAAAAATGAATTGATTAATTAAGTATGAAGAATAAAGAATAAATACACCGCCCAATTACACTTATTTACAGACCATCAACAATGAGCATAATTAATAATAATTAACATATAGGTACGTTGTAAACAAGTGTTATTATACGATGTTAATACAGGATAATTATGAAAAACTAATGTAATTCTATTCCAAATTTTATGATTTATGAACATTAAAAGCGGTAATTATTTTACCAGGTGTATCTCCACGGGTTGGATACGATTCCACGATAAGATAGACGCGACCCTCGCTAACTCCTGCAGAATTTCGTCCTTGACAACTATACGATCCTTGATCGGCGGACTTGACACGATTTATTTCATAAATTGCTGAACTTGGTAATTCTTTTGTTAGACTTTGCGTGCTAGGTTGTAGGAATGCATCAACATTGCTATAGTCAAAGACAAATTGAATCATTATATAATTTCCAAAATTTGTAGCAGGATAAGTATATTTTCCCAATATTTCTCTGAATCATGTTTATTAAGCTTATCTAAATTTTTAAAGAATCGCTGTCATAAATCATTACGTAATACGTTTTACAAAGATAATAAAAACTCACCAGCATAAACTTTTAATGAAATATGAAACAATATAATGTTAAAATTTGAAAAAACATACCTTAAGGTGGCTTCAGTTCGAACATATTTCGACCATTGTACAGTTGGAAGTGGGAATCCTTCTGCTTGACACTCCAAACGAACGTAATCATTTTCCCGGACAGTAACAGTTCCAGAAGGTCTTAAAGTAACAACAGGAACAGTTTGTACTTCAATATTGGCAACAGCTGTTACTTTTCCTGCGGCGTTTTCTGCTGTACAAATGTATTCACCATTATCTTCGTTTACAATTGCATTGAATCTGCAAAAGATGCGGAACTTTACTATGTTCACTATTAAGCATTATTTTTCTATAAAAATATAATTTTATAAAACAGTTGGCCTACTTTAAAACTCCATTGGAAAGTTGCTCAACAGTTGATCCTAAAGGCAATCCATTAGATCTACTCCAAACCACGGTAGGTTGCGGAATTCCAGCGGTAACTCTGCATTGAAGAATGGCACTGCTACCGATCGTGACGGTCTGAGTTTTAGACGGATATATTTCAACTACGGGTGCTTCACGACCTTTTAAAACGTTAAACATGAACATGAAAAGAACAAGAATTAAGTAATTAAGTATATTTACGGTCGATCTCGATAATCGATGACGCTTGGGCGATACCGACATCGTTTGAAGCGACGCAAACATAGACGCCCCTATCAGAAATTTGTACATTATTGATACGGAGTACTGAGCCGATTTGTTGGGCGTTGGGTGGTAAAGCGTCTCCAACTTTCGTCCACTTGATTGTCGGTGGAGGGAAACCAGAAACATTGCAAACTATTTCGGCGGTGGATCCTTGAGAAATTGTTTGGCGCTGAGGCTCTATACGAACTTCTGGATATTCTCTGTATCAAATGAAGTACAATAAAATATCCAAAGTTATGAAGAAAAAAATATATTTTAGTCCTATTTTCTCGCTTGTGAGATCAGTTTACATGAAAATCAAAATTGTCTTTACATCTGTACCGTAACTAAAAAGTCACATTCTAATTTACAAATCGAACAAATATGCTCCGGAAAATTCAAAATAATAAGTTTTTTACATTTTTTTGTAGAAATTATTTGTGTCTCAAGAAAATGTAGTAACTTTTAAAAAATCATTTTAAACGCTAATACTAAAATCAGTATTAGTTAAATGTAAAATGTAACAGTAAAGTTCAATTTTCATGTATAGGACCTGGTCAAAAATGTTACTAATTAGATAATAATTAATTGCTGCCTTTGATAGAAAGTAGACTAATCTGTTTTCAATCCATCGTATGGGAATTAACATTACAGTGGACACCAAACGACGTGAACCAGATAGAAAAAGTAATGATGTTGATTTGTTCACATTAACGAATGTTATATTTATTGGGTAACAAACAATTGTAATTTGCAATTAACAGCAACAAACACATAGAACGGCAACTGCTTTTCCCTTATTTATTTTTTGACTAGCATTTAAAGCGACGTTTCACGTACTGATACAAAAAATTATTTAGGTCACATATGCAAAACGCAGGTAACTAACCATCAACAACGAACTATGCACCTATCTATCGTAATACGACAGGGGAAGTTCCAAATTTATCGGGGATTTACAGCAACGCCGCAAAAACAACGGAAAAATATCGACTATTGAGTTTAATCGACATTCGTTTCTTTAAATGAAGACTTGACTTTTTTAAGGATATATCTGCACATAAAGCAGAGGACAGCGTAGGGTGGAGTCCCTTTTAATAAAAAGAAGTCACTTCTACGATCGCGAACGATTAATTTAAAAATTCGAAAAAGATTGTTAAAGGTATATATTTGGAGGGCGGCGCTGTATGGGTGCGAAACTATGGACGGTGGTCGCGGCGGAAAATAGGTTAGAAGCGTTCGAAATGTGGTGTTACCGGCGAATGATGAAGATACCATGGACAGAGAAGGTTAGAAACGAAGAGGTATTATAAAGAGTAAGAGAACAGAGGACTCTATGGAAGTCAATAAGAAATAGGCGAGATAGGTTAGTAGGACACCTTCTCAGGCATGAAGGTCTAGTCAGGGACATATTAGAGGCAGAAACAGGAGTTAAGAGGAATAGAGGTGGACCTAGACTAGATTACTGTTAATAATGCAAATAGTTACGGATATGGGCTGTTCTAGTTTTAGGGAAATGTGAATATTAGCTGAGGATAGGAAGGAGTGGAGGTGCGTGCCCGACCAGTCTTAGGACTGACGACCTTATGATGATGATATCTTTACGGCGATTTACCATAATTAATATGCTGGTTACATCATGCACCGTTTCCGTTATGCGATGTTCACACTATCGAGCGTCTACTGTAATGCCAATTACTGCTTTTAATTTTATATTAGTAAATGAATGTACAACAGGTAAAAAATTATTTTATTGTGAATGACTGAAATGCAGTTAATGTATTACAAAAAAATAAAAGCGCACTTGGGTACATTAAAATTATAAAGCGTTAAAAATATGTGCATTATAAGCCAATCAGTGCGTCTCTAATTTTAAACAACTGAAAGTTTGAGATTCTTCATCCGTCTACCATCTTTGATATTTAAAGGACCGCTTAGTGTGCAATGGAAAGATTTTTCCAACAGAATGAATGGTATGAGAAATTTTCACCCACTAATACGAAAACTATGTGCATTCCTTTTGGCACAACGTAAACAAATGTGAAATAAAAAATATAATGTAAGAACAAATAAAAATAAAAAAATGTAACAACTCCAATATTAAAACAAAAGCCCTGCTTAACATTAATAGTTAATAAAGTGGTTTTGAACGAATTAAAAATATCAAAAAGGTAAAATTCAAGAAATAACATTGCATCACTTATACAAATTGTTGAGAAAGGCACTAAAAATACAACACCAAACATGCAGGATAATAAGCTGTATCATATGGTAATTATTGTCTAAAATAAATATCACAGCAAAATAAATAAAACTCTTCTGTTTTGATAAGAATTATTTGTTACTTCTGAGCTCGAAATATTAAATGTAAAAAAAAATGAGACAAAATGTTTAATATAATAACTAATTTGTGCTATAAAGCAAAGCATGGGTGCATTATGTACAGAGACCACCACCAATCCCTACCCTTGGGTTCCTGTTGCGATGGATACCACGGCCGATTCGTTTCCACGTGTTCCCGAGTAGCTTGTCACTGTACAAACATAAACTCCTGAGTCTTCAGGTTTCGCATCGTATACGGTCAGGACTGCATTCTCGACACTCGAACTGTATGGTAATAAATGACCGTCCTTTCTCGTCCAGTCGATGCTCCTGTATGCTTCTCTACTTTGACATGTCAACGTGAATTTGTCACCACTTTTACCATAATACGAGCCCGGTGTAATCCTCGGTTTCATGATTGATCCAGATCCTTCTCTAATATATACGCGGGCCACAAAACGATCGGTACCTTTTTCATTTGTGGCAATACATTCGTAATCTCCCTCGTCATTTTTCGTAGCAAAAGGAATTTGAATAACTCCTGGTGATATACTTTGCTGGAAAAGTAAAGAAAACCCAAGTTGAATACTTATCTATTCTGAAAAAAATTCTTATTGAACTCACCAAATTACTGTAAGCATCTCCTGTTCTTTTGACCCACGTGAGATTTGGTGCTGGTACTCCGGATGATGTACAACGAAGCGTTATTTCTTCACCTTCAGTTATGTCTAATGTTTCGGGATATATCGAAACTCTTGGAGCTACGGGTTCATTTCCTGTGGGTACACAATAATATTTAATTATTTTTCTATTTTTCAAAGCATTAAGAAGTTAAATTAAATAATTATAAAGTTATAAAAGTTAACAAGGTAGTACCTGGAGCATTTATTTGACTAGCCTTAATAGCTGCATGTTAGAAGAAAACAATGTACTCTTTAATAAAAACATTAATCTTTTAATATTAGAAACAAACACTTACCGTCCCCTACGTGCAATGTTACATAGTCAGTGACTACTTCAACCCCATCTGAAGCCTCACAGATGTATCTACCCGAGTCAGAGACTCTAACAGACCGTATCACCAAAAGGCCGCGCGCATCATCTATGAATCGATCATAGGGCAATTCACCCCCTTCTTTCAGCCAGTGTATTACTACAGATCTCTGTAAAATCGAGTAAAATTTAATGTTGATTTTATGTATTGCATTTCATAAATAAATTTTACTACTTACAGATGGTGAAGTAAGAGACCTGGCTTCGCATTTGAGATGCACAGTGCTTCCTATTTCTTTGATGTGTATGATAGGTGTTTCAACCCTTACGTATATTTGCGGTTCGTGTGGACGCGATGTTGGCGGTTCAGGGGGAGGTGGAGAAGGTCCAGGACCTTCAGAAAAATTTTAAATTTTAAAATAATGATAGAAAACATGTACTTTAGTGGAATTATTTCAGATTATAAAACAGTAACATATAACTAAAATGTTAATTATCTAAATTCTATGCTGGAAACTTTACAACAAAACAGTTAACACGAATAACAAGAAAATTAACGTCACAAGCTACACAAATATACATGTTCCTCAATATGGGAATAAAGTCAGATTATGCAACTCTAAAAAATCTCTAAATTCTATTTGCCTTGCTTTAAGATCTTTTTTTAATTATCTTTTTAATTAATACTGAGAAAAACAAGTAAATTGAAAATCGTTTTATGTAATTGGTATCATTAATTTCTCATTTAATTTACGAAATTAGAAAATGGTAGTTCTGTGTTTAAAAATTTAAATTTTTGTGGAGAAAATGTTTTGAAACAAACAAATATTGCCGAAAGTGAAATGCGTAGTTTACAACTGCCACCACCACCCTTAGTAAATATAAAGGGACGAAGACAAATATATAAACAAAAGCGATCTACAGATTGAATCTCTGCAAACCTGCGTGTAGCCTTGAGGTTATTATTCCTACAACATAATTTTCCATATTCTTAACAACGCAAGTAACAACGTTAGACGGTTCCGTTATTTTAACGAAGAAAATCATGCTAGCCCCGTAACCATTGTCATTTTCCTCCAAAATTTCGGAAACGTTATAGACAGGCAACGTTGCATTCGAAACCTCTAGCTGAAGGCGCTGTGTATATTTGTATTTGCAATTGAGCATTATATCCGAGCCTATACGCCCTTCTACATACGCTGGCGTTATTTCCAGCATTAAGCCATCTTCACCTATTAAGTATCACATTCAGGATTTTCACAATATTTATTATCAATTCTTTCCATTTTATTAGTTTGAGTTTAATTTGGACTACATTTGTATCAAAAGGATAAAATTTCAAAACAAAAACGTCTCTGCTCAAACAATAGAATCCATTTGTAGTGCACCATAACAAAAATAAAAATTGTTAAAGTTTAATCATGCAAGTATTAAAATGACGAAAAAGAATCAGGCAGAAACCTTACCCGTTGTTTCGCAGTATCTTCCGTGGAATCCTTGTCGGCAGTTGCAAATTACATCCCCATTGGGCGCCAAATTACAGCTTTCTTCGTTCCTGTTACAAGGGCAGGGAGAGCAGCTACCATACAATTGAGCCCCATTTGTGGAAGGTCTGTTATCTCTGTAGTATCCAGCAGCGCACGATTCACATGAAGTACCACGGTATCCCTTAAATAAAAAGTGATATTTGTTATTGCTCTACAGCAACAAAAGTATCAATATTATGATACATAGGTACTCATTTTAAGTCACTATTTCAATTAATTTTTAAATGGATTTAATAATAGAACGTACCGGTGGACATCTACATATTTCGACGTTGGTAGCTCTGGCCTGGCCGGTAGGATTGTCTACAGCAGTGTCCAAAACGACATCACTAATATAAGAAGATGTTGTTTCCGTGGATAATGAAGCGCGAATGAGAATGGCTTCAATGTTCGACAAAACTGTAAGGATGTCTTGACGCGATGCTGGACGAGGACCTTGACGGTAATCTAATCTCTGCCAGTTTTCATCGGCACTTAACACCACAGAAACAGACTGAAAATAATCAGAAGTAACACGTCTGAATTTTAACACTCAACAACAAACTTATTTACGTTGTCTCTATCTGGATAAAATTCCCCTGGGCGACTCCAGAAGATGTTAATACCATTTCCGGAAATGATAACGTCCTTATCAGGGACATATCTTCCGCCAAAGGACTGGCTGTAGTTTATAATGAATTCGAGTCGTCCACCATAAGATCTAACTTGATTTCCAGTGAAAATGGATGGCAACGCCCAGTACCATCTTTGCGTGTCCCCGTACCGGAAGTTGTAACTGATTCTATTATTTGCAACGTCCAGCGAAAAATCAGATGTTATTCTTTCCCGCTGATTCCTATAAAAGACCATAAAATAATGCAAAAAATATACATATTTGTGTTTAAAAACCGTACTCGTCAGTCAAAACGAATCCGTGATTATCATCAAATACTTGACTCGGAATTTGTTCGATGTAGAAGTAACTCTCGCTACATTCAGAACTGACTCCAGAACAGAAGCATTCCTGACATCCAAAAGATCGAGAAGTATTAAAGCCGAAAGTTCCTTGACGGCAGCGATCGCACCTATCACCCTCTACGTTGCTCTAGAGAAGGAAACATAAACCCTTAGGTTTTTTTCTGAAGAACAACAAATTCATTTTGTACCTTGCACCGGCAGTTGTTGTCCACGCATTGTTCGGCAATACCAGCTTCATTACAATAATCACAACGAGTGTGTCCCTCAGACGATAGGTACCTGCAGGTGCCTGTTGCAGCATCCATTGTGTACCCTGGCAAACATGACTCGCAGTTCGGACCAGTTGTGTGGTCTCTACAGTTCTGGAAAATAGAAGCGAATAATAAGCTATTGTCGAACTATTCATTCAGTTTTCTGTAAAATCGGTTTTACATTAACTTCCAAATCGTGTTGTCGTCTACTAATAGCTTACCAGACAATCTCCCGATTCAGGGTCACATTCCCCAGAGTGACCATTGCAGGAACATGGCGTACACAATCCAAGATAAATGCCTTCACCAGCTCGGGTCCATCCAATGTCGCAATCTTCGCAAGACAATCCTCTGTAGCCTTGCGGACATTTACACTGTTCAACAGCTACAGCCCTTTCCCTACCAGTATTTCTATCTTCAGCTGTGTCCAGGGAAACCGATGATAAGCTAACCGAAGAACATGAACATAGAAAAAATGTTCAAAAAATGTTAAGGATGAAATCGACTTACCTTGATTCGTATGAGTTTGTAGTGTATGTAGCTTTAATAAGTATGGCTTTCACATCTGCTAAGGCCTGAAGAAGATGCTCTCTGTCAGCTACTTGACCATCTGACCGTTGCCAGTACTGTTCCAAGATGGGTATGGAGAAGTTATGGTGTCCGCTACCTTGTGGCGAATCCCTTCCGTAATATAAAAGACTGATTTCATTTTCCTGAAAGGTACGCCAAAATTATCGAAAATTTTGTTATTTGTTTCATTTTTCATACGCTTATGAGTTCGACATCGGGCGCATTGTTTTTGGAGTAGCCTCCAGGGGTCGGAATGTATCTGATGGAATATTTGAGGTGACCTCCATAAGAAGACACCTTATCTCCTAGATATCGGGGTGGTAACACCCAATAATAAACGTCAGGTGTTTGGAAATTGCTATAGACAATTTCTCCTCGGTCTGGTTCAACGTTTATTCCTTCGGTTATGAGGGCTGATCTGTTGAGAGATGCTAATAGTTTAAAGTCACTCCTCGATGATGTAAAAGCAGTTGTTATCTATAAGAAAATGAACCATTAAAAATGTGGAATAGTTCAAATTTTCATCGTACATACAGAACTCCTATACCAGTTGGAACTAGAGCACTCTTGGGTGACACCCATACAGAAGCAGGCTATACAACCAAATTGATTTTCGCTACTTAGATGGAATGTATTTGGCTTGCAAGTTGCACAAGTTGGACCGTACGTATTTTGCTAAAATAAAGTTGTATATAAAAACAACGACCCAATAACAATAAATAATATGAACACGATTCATAATTCTTGTACTTGATTAAATACTTACATACAAGATGATTTTATGACGATTAAGAAAGCAGGAAAATAAACATTTTCAAAGTTAAACAAGAATATTACATAGATATGTACACTTTTAAAATTAAATATGTGTTATAAAAATATGCCTATAGTTGACGAAATATTTGTCCTACCTTGCATTGACATAATCCCCTGTCATCGGTTTGAAGACTAAGTGATCCTTCGGGATGACAGATTGAAGTTATTGGTTTACAGGAGTCTCCAGGAATCAAAGGATTTCCGGTGTAACCAGGAGCGCATTGTTGACAACGTCTTCCAACGTATTCTACAGGACAATCACAAGTCACGTCGCCATCAGAATCTAGAGAGCAAGTGCGAGCAAATCTGCAAATACACAAATGAAAGTATTTCCATGGAGTATGTAATTGAAACCTTTGGACATACTGATTGCTAGGATTTGTGAGAGGACACGGGCAAACTTCACAAGGAATTCCTCTTGATGTATCCCCGTACGTTCCAAGGGGACAGGTCTCAACTTCTTTGTAACATTGTCCCAACCACGGTCCCGATCTATGTCTTGTATATCCTGGCGCACAATCCTTCAAAAAATAAACCACTTGAATTGAATTGCATCAATAACAAATTTAGAATAAATTACCTCGCAAGAAAGTCCTGTATATCCTACGGGACATTTGCATTCTTCCACATAAAGTGCAGCACCTTGACCTGCATCTGGTACTGCAGCAGAGTCCATTTCGATGTCTGACAAAGTTGTTTCTAAATTATCGGATTGCACGTATTGCAATTTAATTAAAATGTTTTCGACATTTTCTAAAGCCATCATGATTTCTTCTCTTGTTGCTTGAGTTTCCGGTGACGTTTCTGTTCTTTTTACCCAACGTTCCCCAGCAAAGAAGCGCGCGGAAACGTTATGGTATGGCCTAATATTTTCATTACTATAATAAAGTAAAGTGTATCCATTTCCCTAGAAAAGAAAGAAGGATTTAAGAAAATTCCATAATTTTGATGGTATAAGTTTTACGACTACGTCTAAAACACTTACGACAAGGATAATTGTAGGATGAGTGGATGTAGGCTCTCCATATCCTTCGTAGCGCAGATTGTATTTAAGGAAACCTCCATAACTTTTCAGCTGATTACCGTGAAAGCTTTCGGGCATTACAAAATATGGAAGAACATTTGGTTGCGATAGTTGAGCGTATGGTAGTGACGCTTGTACTCCATTTCTTCCTACGGGAGTTAGTCTGGGCTCGTTGCCTCGATAAATGGGTTCATTTCTGATGTCGATAACTTTTGAATATGGATCTACTCCAACACCAACGTATCGGTGAGAGTCGAAAGGAGGTAGAAGCTAAAATTAAAAATCAAATCTTGTGCTAACTGAGAAAGGATTTAAGAATTTTAGAAAACTAACTTGGTATGTGAACAGATCTGCCGATCGACATTCTGTAGTAGCACCAAAGCAGAAACAGGGAATGCAATCACTTTCACGTGATGCTTGGTTATTAAAGTAGCCTCTTGGGCAAGCGGGAGCACCTGAGTTAACGACCAAGATGGTATCAGGTACGGCGAAAACAGTCCCTCGGATGTTAATAGCTTCACAAGAGTAAGCGCCTTGATCAGCTATTTGAATATCTGGGCAAGTAAGAACGCCAACACCTCCGTTACTGACAGTTGTACATTTTTCAGGAATATGTCCCCAGTTAAGGCGCCAAACAATTTCCGGAGTGGGGATGGCCACTGCAGTACATTCGATAGTAAACAATTCTCCAACATTCAATGTTATCATAGGCGGGGGTGGTTTTGATATCACAACAGAGGCTAAAAAAGTTGACTCAGTATACTCTGCAATTTTAAACGTTTCGTCTACCTACAGCATCCAATTTCATCACTACCGTCGATACAATCTCTCTCGTGATCGCAATGGAAGCTTTTGGGAATGCATTGGTTTCCAGAATGACAGGAGAATTCGCTGTAACGACATTGTGATCCTGGCGCACTAGCGGCACAGTTGGCTTCATCGGTACCATCACCGCAGTCGTCATCTCCATCGCACATCCAAATCTTAAGGATACACCTTTTGTTACTGCAACGGAACTCGTTTGGTTCGCAACCAAACGGATCTAAAAAGCACACGCAACCAAACGATAATCAACAGTTTTTGCTTATATTAACGAAGAACCTACTGCATCGAGTTTCATCTGACCCATCTGCACAGTCATACTTTCCATCGCATACCAAATGCTTGGAGATACAGTCACCGTTGGAGCAAGTAGCTTCATGAAGTCCACAGGCTTGAGGTGGTCGAACAGTTGGTATAATATCTGAAAGAGTTTCTTTATTTGCTTCACCGAGTCGAGAAAATATTAACTTCTCTTTTCTTACCAAAATATCGTCACGAAGGGTTGAAAATAATAATACCGATTTAATATATTATTTATAAGGACAAATTGCGCAAAGTGTTTGAAAAGAAAGTAATAAATGAGTACCTGTTCCTCTATAATCTGTGTCAATCGGTGGCAATTTGCCAAATTTTAAAATCGGTGGGAACTTAATTCCATCCCCAAATGTAGCTATTCCGGCTGCATGTTAAAAATAGTACGGGTAAAAATTTTAACGTTCAGTTGGTTAATGGATAAAGGTGAATTATTTTGAAGAATCTACACATAACTGTATCGGAACTCTTTAGTAAACTTTTTCTATATTATAAACTAGACATTGTTCCAATAAAGACAAATCGAAATAAAAATCAAATACTTACATTTTTCAACTTGCAAATTGACATAAACAGAAGCTCCTGGTGTACTGGATGGGTAACCAATTGCAGAACAAACGTAAGATCCAGCATGTTCCAACTTAATATCCGGTATTTCAAGACGTCCGTTGAAGTCCCTTGAACCTGGAGGCAGTGGTAGTCCGCTTCCTCTAGACCACTGCACTCTCGCTCTTAAAGGACCTTCGTCTCTGCATTGGAATACCACCTCATTGCCTAAATGGAGGTAAAATTTTCTTAGCTTTTTCCGAAGCCAATAACAATTTAAGCCATGCAAAACAGCTTATTTTTTGTAAACAGAGCAATAGAAATTAAAATAAAATCATTAAAGAAGGGTTAGCTCTGAACCACTCCCCTTAATATGTTACGAAACTAAGTATGTTTGGCTGAAAAAAAAATGTCTACGNCATTATATAATTTCCAAAATTTGTAGCAGGATAAGTATATTTTCCCAATATTTCTCTGAATCATGTTTATTAAGCTTATCTAAATTTTTAAAGAATCGCTGTCATAAATCATTACGTAATACGTTTTACAAAGATAATAAAAACTCACCAGCATAAACTTTTAATGAAATATGAAACAATATAATGTTAAAATTTGAAAAAACATACCTTAAGGTGGCTTCAGTTCGAACATATTTCGACCATTGTACAGTTGGAAGTGGGAATCCTTCTGCTTGACACTCCAAACGAACGTAATCATTTTCCCGGACAGTAACAGTTCCAGAAGGTCTTAAAGTAACAACAGGAACAGTTTGTACTTCAATATTGGCAACAGCTGTTACTTTTCCTGCGGCGTTTTCTGCTGTACAAATGTATTCACCATTATCTTCGTTTACAATTGCATTGAATCTGCAAAAGATGCGGAACTTTACTATGTTCACTATTAAGCATTATTTTTCTATAAAAATATAATTTTATAAAACAGTTGGCCTACTTTAAAACTCCATTGGAAAGTTGCTCAACAGTTGATCCTAAAGGCAATCCATTAGATCTACTCCAAACCACGGTAGGTTGCGGAATTCCAGCGGTAACTCTGCATTGAAGAATGGCACTGCTACCGATCGTGACGGTCTGAGTTTTAGACGGATATATTTCAACTACGGGTGCTTCACGACCTTTTAAAACGTTAAACATGAACATGAAAAGAACAAGAATTAAGTAATTAAGTATATTTACGGTCGATCTCGATAATCGATGACGCTTGGGCGATACCGACATCGTTTGAAGCGACGCAAACATAGACGCCCCTATCAGAAATTTGTACATTATTGATACGGAGTACTGAGCCGATTTGTTGGGCGTTGGGTGGTAAAGCGTCTCCAACTTTCGTCCACTTGATTGTCGGTGGAGGGAAACCAGAAACATTGCAAACTATTTCGGCGGTGGATCCTTGAGAAATTGTTTGGCGCTGAGGCTCTATACGAACTTCTGGATATTCTCTGTATCAAATGAAGTACAATAAAATATCCAAAGTTATGAAGAAAAAAATATATTTTAGTCCTATTTTCTCGCTTGTGAGATCAGTTTACATGAAAATCAAAATTGTCTTTACATCTGTACCGTAACTAAAAAGTCACATTCTAATTTACAAATCGAACAAATATGCTCCGGAAAATTCAAAATAATAAGTTTTTTACATTTTTTTGTAGAAATTATTTGTGTCTCAAGAAAATGTAGTAACTTTTAAAAAATCATTTTAAACGCTAATACTAAAATCAGTATTAGTTAAATGTAAAATGTAACAGTAAAGTTCAATTTTCATGTATAGGACCTGGTCAAAAATGTTACTAATTAGATAATAATTAATTGCTGCCTTTGATAGAAAGTAGACTAATCTGTTTTCAATCCATCGTATGGGAATTAACATTACAGTGGACACCAAACGACGTGAACCAGATAGAAAAAGTAATGATGTTGATTTGTTCACATTAACGAATGTTATATTTATTGGGTAACAAACAATTGTAATTTGCAATTAACAGCAACAAACACATAGAACGGCAACTGCTTTTCCCTTATTTATTTTTTGACTAGCATTTAAAGCGACGTTTCACGTACTGATACAAAAAATTATTTAGGTCACATATGCAAAACGCAGGTAACTAACCATCAACAACGAACTATGCACCTATCTATCGTAATACGACAGGGGAAGTTCCAAATTTATCGGGGATTTACAGCAACGCCGCAAAAACAACGGAAAAATATCGACTATTGAGTTTAATCGACATTCGTTTCTTTAAATGAAGACTTGACTTTTTTAAGGATATATCTGCACATAAAGCAGAGGACAGCGTAGGGTGGAGTCCCTTTTAATAAAAAGAAGTCACTTCTACGATCGCGAACGATTAATTTAAAAATTCGAAAAAGATTGTTAAAGGTATATATTTGGAGGGCGGCGCTGTATGGGTGCGAAACTATGGACGGTGGTCGCGGCGGAAAATAGGTTAGAAGCGTTCGAAATGTGGTGTTACCGGCGAATGATGAAGATACCATGGACAGAGAAGGTTAGAAACGAAGAGGTATTATAAAGAGTAAGAGAACAGAGGACTCTATGGAAGTCAATAAGAAATAGGCGAGATAGGTTAGTAGGACACCTTCTCAGGCATGAAGGTCTAGTCAGGGACATATTAGAGGCAGAAACAGGAGTTAAGAGGAATAGAGGTGGACCTAGACTAGATTACTGTTAATAATGCAAATAGTTACGGATATGGGCTGTTCTAGTTTTAGGGAAATGTGAATATTAGCTGAGGATAGGAAGGAGTGGAGGTGCGTGCCCGACCAGTCTTAGGACTGACGACCTTATGATGATGATATCTTTACGGCGATTTACCATAATTAATATGCTGGTTACATCATGCACCGTTTCCGTTATGCGATGTTCACACTATCGAGCGTCTACTGTAATGCCAATTACTGCTTTTAATTTTATATTAGTAAATGAATGTACAACAGGTAAAAAATTATTTTATTGTGAATGACTGAAATGCAGTTAATGTATTACAAAAAAATAAAAGCGCACTTGGGTACATTAAAATTATAAAGCGTTAAAAATATGTGCATTATAAGCCAATCAGTGCGTCTCTAATTTTAAACAACTGAAAGTTTGAGATTCTTCATCCGTCTACCATCTTTGATATTTAAAGGACCGCTTAGTGTGCAATGGAAAGATTTTTCCAACAGAATGAATGGTATGAGAAATTTTCACCCACTAATACGAAAACTATGTGCATTCCTTTTGGCACAACGTAAACAAATGTGAAATAAAAAATATAATGTAAGAACAAATAAAAATAAAAAAATGTAACAACTCCAATATTAAAACAAAAGCCCTGCTTAACATTAATAGTTAATAAAGTGGTTTTGAACGAATTAAAAATATCAAAAAGGTAAAATTCAAGAAATAACATTGCATCACTTATACAAATTGTTGAGAAAGGCACTAAAAATACAACACCAAACATGCAGGATAATAAGCTGTATCATATGGTAATTATTGTCTAAAATAAATATCACAGCAAAATAAATAAAACTCTTCTGTTTTGATAAGAATTATTTGTTACTTCTGAGCTCGAAATATTAAATGTAAAAAAAAATGAGACAAAATGTTTAATATAATAACTAATTTGTGCTATAAAGCAAAGCATGGGTGCATTATGTACAGAGACCACCACCAATCCCTACCCTTGGGTTCCTGTTGCGATGGATACCACGGCCGATTCGTTTCCACGTGTTCCCGAGTAGCTTGTCACTGTACAAACATAAACTCCTGAGTCTTCAGGTTTCGCATCGTATACGGTCAGGACTGCATTCTCGACACTCGAACTGTATGGTAATAAATGACCGTCCTTTCTCGTCCAGTCGATGCTCCTGTATGCTTCTCTACTTTGACATGTCAACGTGAATTTGTCACCACTTTTACCATAATACGAGCCCGGTGTAATCCTCGGTTTCATGATTGATCCAGATCCTTCTCTAATATATACGCGGGCCACAAAACGATCGGTACCTTTTTCATTTGTGGCAATACATTCGTAATCTCCCTCGTCATTTTTCGTAGCAAAAGGAATTTGAATAACTCCTGGTGATATACTTTGCTGGAAAAGTAAAGAAAACCCAAGTTGAATACTTATCTATTCTGAAAAAAATTCTTATTGAACTCACCAAATTACTGTAAGCATCTCCTGTTCTTTTGACCCACGTGAGATTTGGTGCTGGTACTCCGGATGATGTACAACGAAGCGTTATTTCTTCACCTTCAGTTATGTCTAATGTTTCGGGATATATCGAAACTCTTGGAGCTACGGGTTCATTTCCTGTGGGTACACAATAATATTTAATTATTTTTCTATTTTTCAAAGCATTAAGAAGTTAAATTAAATAATTATAAAGTTATAAAAGTTAACAAGGTAGTACCTGGAGCATTTATTTGACTAGCCTTAATAGCTGCATGTTAGAAGAAAACAATGTACTCTTTAATAAAAACATTAATCTTTTAATATTAGAAACAAACACTTACCGTCCCCTACGTGCAATGTTACATAGTCAGTGACTACTTCAACCCCATCTGAAGCCTCACAGATGTATCTACCCGAGTCAGAGACTCTAACAGACCGTATCACCAAAAGGCCGCGCGCATCATCTATGAATCGATCATAGGGCAATTCACCCCCTTCTTTCAGCCAGTGTATTACTACAGATCTCTGTAAAATCGAGTAAAATTTAATGTTGATTTTATGTATTGCATTTCATAAATAAATTTTACTACTTACAGATGGTGAAGTAAGAGACCTGGCTTCGCATTTGAGATGCACAGTGCTTCCTATTTCTTTGATGTGTATGATAGGTGTTTCAACCCTTACGTATATTTGCGGTTCGTGTGGACGCGATGTTGGCGGTTCAGGGGGAGGTGGAGAAGGTCCAGGACCTTCAGAAAAATTTTAAATTTTAAAATAATGATAGAAAACATGTACTTTAGTGGAATTATTTCAGATTATAAAACAGTAACATATAACTAAAATGTTAATTATCTAAATTCTATGCTGGAAACTTTACAACAAAACAGTTAACACGAATAACAAGAAAATTAACGTCACAAGCTACACAAATATACATGTTCCTCAATATGGGAATAAAGTCAGATTATGCAACTCTAAAAAATCTCTAAATTCTATTTGCCTTGCTTTAAGATCTTTTTTTAATTATCTTTTTAATTANTGTCGTCTACTAATAGCTTACCAGACAATCTCCCGATTCAGGGTCACATTCCCCAGAGTGACCATTGCAGGAACATGGCGTACACAATCCAAGATAAATGCCTTCACCAGCTCGGGTCCATCCAATGTCGCAATCTTCGCAAGACAATCCTCTGTAGCCTTGCGGACATTTACACTGTTCAACAGCTACAGCCCTTTCCCTACCAGTATTTCTATCTTCAGCTGTGTCCAGGGAAACCGATGATAAGCTAACCGAAGAACATGAACATAGAAAAAATGTTCAAAAAATGTTAAGGATGAAATCGACTTACCTTGATTCGTATGAGTTTGTAGTGTATGTAGCTTTAATAAGTATGGCTTTCACATCTGCTAAGGCCTGAAGAAGATGCTCTCTGTCAGCTACTTGACCATCTGACCGTTGCCAGTACTGTTCCAAGATGGGTATGGAGAAGTTATGGTGTCCGCTACCTTGTGGCGAATCCCTTCCGTAATATAAAAGACTGATTTCATTTTCCTGAAAGGTACGCCAAAATTATCGAAAATTTTGTTATTTGTTTCATTTTTCATACGCTTATGAGTTCGACATCGGGCGCATTGTTTTTGGAGTAGCCTCCAGGGGTCGGAATGTATCTGATGGAATATTTGAGGTGACCTCCATAAGAAGACACCTTATCTCCTAGATATCGGGGTGGTAACACCCAATAATAAACGTCAGGTGTTTGGAAATTGCTATAGACAATTTCTCCTCGGTCTGGTTCAACGTTTATTCCTTCGGTTATGAGGGCTGATCTGTTGAGAGATGCTAATAGTTTAAAGTCACTCCTCGATGATGTAAAAGCAGTTGTTATCTATAAGAAAATGAACCATTAAAAATGTGGAATAGTTCAAATTTTCATCGTACATACAGAACTCCTATACCAGTTGGAACTAGAGCACTCTTGGGTGACACCCATACAGAAGCAGGCTATACAACCAAATTGATTTTCGCTACTTAGATGGAATGTATTTGGCTTGCAAGTTGCACAAGTTGGACCGTACGTATTTTGCTAAAATAAAGTTGTATATAAAAACAACGACCCAATAACAATAAATAATATGAACACGATTCATAATTCTTGTACTTGATTAAATACTTACATACAAGATGATTTTATGACGATTAAGAAAGCAGGAAAATAAACATTTTCAAAGTTAAACAAGAATATTACATAGATATGTACACTTTTAAAATTAAATATGTGTTATAAAAATATGCCTATAGTTGACGAAATATTTGTCCTACCTTGCATTGACATAATCCCCTGTCATCGGTTTGAAGACTAAGTGATCCTTCGGGATGACAGATTGAAGTTATTGGTTTACAGGAGTCTCCAGGAATCAAAGGATTTCCGGTGTAACCAGGAGCGCATTGTTGACAACGTCTTCCAACGTATTCTACAGGACAATCACAAGTCACGTCGCCATCAGAATCTAGAGAGCAAGTGCGAGCAAATCTGCAAATACACAAATGAAAGTATTTCCATGGAGTATGTAATTGAAACCTTTGGACATACTGATTGCTAGGATTTGTGAGAGGACACGGGCAAACTTCACAAGGAATTCCTCTTGATGTATCCCCGTACGTTCCAAGGGGACAGGTCTCAACTTCTTTGTAACATTGTCCCAACCACGGTCCCGATCTATGTCTTGTATATCCTGGCGCACAATCCTTCAAAAAATAAACCACTTGAATTGAATTGCATCAATAACAAATTTAGAATAAATTACCTCGCAAGAAAGTCCTGTATATCCTACGGGACATTTGCATTCTTCCACATAAAGTGCAGCACCTTGACCTGCATCTGGTACTGCAGCAGAGTCCATTTCGATGTCTGACAAAGTTGTTTCTAAATTATCGGATTGCACGTATTGCAATTTAATTAAAATGTTTTCGACATTTTCTAAAGCCATCATGATTTCTTCTCTTGTTGCTTGAGTTTCCGGTGACGTTTCTGTTCTTTTTACCCAACGTTCCCCAGCAAAGAAGCGCGCGGAAACGTTATGGTATGGCCTAATATTTTCATTACTATAATAAAGTAAAGTGTATCCATTTCCCTAGAAAAGAAAGAAGGATTTAAGAAAATTCCATAATTTTGATGGTATAAGTTTTACGACTACGTCTAAAACACTTACGACAAGGATAATTGTAGGATGAGTGGATGTAGGCTCTCCATATCCTTCGTAGCGCAGATTGTATTTAAGGAAACCTCCATAACTTTTCAGCTGATTACCGTGAAAGCTTTCGGGCATTACAAAATATGGAAGAACATTTGGTTGCGATAGTTGAGCGTATGGTAGTGACGCTTGTACTCCATTTCTTCCTACGGGAGTTAGTCTGGGCTCGTTGCCTCGATAAATGGGTTCATTTCTGATGTCGATAACTTTTGAATATGGATCTACTCCAACACCAACGTATCGGTGAGAGTCGAAAGGAGGTAGAAGCTAAAATTAAAAATCAAATCTTGTGCTAACTGAGAAAGGATTTAAGAATTTTAGAAAACTAACTTGGTATGTGAACAGATCTGCCGATCGACATTCTGTAGTAGCACCAAAGCAGAAACAGGGAATGCAATCACTTTCACGTGATGCTTGGTTATTAAAGTAGCCTCTTGGGCAAGCGGGAGCACCTGAGTTAACGACCAAGATGGTATCAGGTACGGCGAAAACAGTCCCTCGGATGTTAATAGCTTCACAAGAGTAAGCGCCTTGATCAGCTATTTGAATATCTGGGCAAGTAAGAACGCCAACACCTCCGTTACTGACAGTTGTACATTTTTCAGGAATATGTCCCCAGTTAAGGCGCCAAACAATTTCCGGAGTGGGGATGGCCACTGCAGTACATTCGATAGTAAACAATTCTCCAACATTCAATGTTATCATAGGCGGGGGTGGTTTTGATATCACAACAGAGGCTAAAAAAGTTGACTCAGTATACTCTGCAATTTTAAACGTTTCGTCTACCTACAGCATCCAATTTCATCACTACCGTCGATACAATCTCTCTCGTGATCGCAATGGAAGCTTTTGGGAATGCATTGGTTTCCAGAATGACAGGAGAATTCGCTGTAACGACATTGTGATCCTGGCGCACTAGCGGCACAGTTGGCTTCATCGGTACCATCACCGCAGTCGTCATCTCCATCGCACATCCAAATCTTAAGGATACACCTTTTGTTACTGCAACGGAACTCGTTTGGTTCGCAACCAAACGGATCTAAAAAGCACACGCAACCAAACGATAATCAACAGTTTTTGCTTATATTAACGAAGAACCTACTGCATCGAGTTTCATCTGACCCATCTGCACAGTCATACTTTCCATCGCATACCAAATGCTTGGAGATACAGTCACCGTTGGAGCAAGTAGCTTCATGAAGTCCACAGGCTTGAGGTGGTCGAACAGTTGGTATAATATCTGAAAGAGTTTCTTTATTTGCTTCACCGAGTCGAGAAAATATTAACTTCTCTTTTCTTACCAAAATATCGTCACGAAGGGTTGAAAATAATAATACCGATTTAATATATTATTTATAAGGACAAATTGCGCAAAGTGTTTGAAAAGAAAGTAATAAATGAGTACCTGTTCCTCTATAATCTGTGTCAATCGGTGGCAATTTGCCAAATTTTAAAATCGGTGGGAACTTAATTCCATCCCCAAATGTAGCTATTCCGGCTGCATGTTAAAAATAGTACGGGTAAAAATTTTAACGTTCAGTTGGTTAATGGATAAAGGTGAATTATTTTGAAGAATCTACACATAACTGTATCGGAACTCTTTAGTAAACTTTTTCTATATTATAAACTAGACATTGTTCCAATAAAGACAAATCGAAATAAAAATCAAATACTTACATTTTTCAACTTGCAAATTGACATAAACAGAAGCTCCTGGTGTACTGGATGGGTAACCAATTGCAGAACAAACGTAAGATCCAGCATGTTCCAACTTAATATCCGGTATTTCAAGACGTCCGTTGAAGTCCCTTGAACCTGGAGGCAGTGGTAGTCCGCTTCCTCTAGACCACTGCACTCTCGCTCTTAAAGGACCTTCGTCTCTGCATTGGAATACCACCTCATTGCCTAAATGGAGGTAAAATTTTCTTAGCTTTTTCCGAAGCCAATAACAATTTAAGCCATGCAAAACAGCTTATTTTTTGTAAACAGAGCAATAGAAATTAAAATAAAATCATTAAAGAAGGGTTAGCTCTGAACCACTCCCCTTAATATGTTACGAAACTAAGTATGTTTGGCTGAAAAAAAAATGTCTACGTGTTTAAATGCTTTATGAAACGCATGAAAAGTTAAAACTGTTATCCAAAATTCAGCGTAGAAATTAATAGATCTAAAAATAAAATAAAGAAACAAAAATAAACAGAAAGTAAATTATTTATCTAAATCTACAATTTTCTATATTTTCAATAAATATACATGTGTGTAATATCGTATATTTATTAATCAGTAATTTGTATTACAACATTTTTTCACATATAAAACCGAGTCCTGTCTTTAGTCCTTCAGATATTTGCAATCTTACGTACAAAACTCTGGACTTTTTCTCTTGTTAAGTCTTCAAAACAATATAATATTTAAGTAAATCAAAAAAAAAAAGAAATCCCAAAAAAACCTCTAATAGAAAGAGACAGCAACTACTGGAGCGCTTTGTATTGACAAAAGCAAAATATTCTGGTTAAAATGTACGCAAAATGTTATTACGTGATCTATGACTTGTGTTACCAAATACTTACCCAATTTATACACGCCTGCTCCACATAGACAGACAAAAAAATTAGAAAATAACAACACATAAAAAAGAATTAATTGTAGTTCATAATTATTTTTGGGGAGGTAACATAATTCTTACATTAGATAAACAAAAGTGTAAAACACCGAGTTAGTTTTTTAAATTTTAGAAACGCGTATCTGCGAGAAAGTATTTAGTTTATTTTCCTTTTTGGCGTTTCATAGTATTAAAAGCAACAATAACCCCATACATATAATATACACATATCTAATTATTATGTAATGGCTTTGATGCCCGCAATAAAAAGGAGAATTTATTATAAAATAAACATGCAACTTACTTTCTTTAATGGACTGTTGACTAGGATATGTTCTAAGGTTAAGACCATCCCCACTTCCAGCTGAAATAGAAAAAAATATTTTACCTAATAATTTAGCATTCAAAAATATCTAATCAAATTAACTTAATTACCATGTAGGTACCTTTTACAATATTGTCCACGGATCTAATTATGAACATCTTGATGAAATTTGTCAAAGTTTGCTTCGCAAAATATTTATTAAATAATTGACAAATTTAGTTTTAATGATGTCCTAGCCTGATACTTTTTCATTAGTTCGTATTATAAACCAATATTTAATGTACAGCGGAATTCGTTTATTATAACTCCGCCTATATTGACCAACCGCTTAATATGAAGTAATTACAGTGTTAAGTTTGGTTTTCATATTAAATTCTCCACAGAAAAGTTTGGACATAAGGACTCTGTTTAAAATGACATATCGCTTATTACGACTGATTCTCACGAAATTATATCCGGCTATAGTGATCCAAATGATTAACTATAACATTTTCGTTCATTTTTTTACCCTTCCCACTCCTGCTCCTGCATTATTGATTTCTTATGTAAAAAATGACAAAATATGTTACGTATATTGATATTACAATTCATCCTTTTTGTTTTTCTGTTAATAAATATATACAATTTCTAGTTTTTCTCTCTATTAAACTAAATAGCTAACCAAAATAGAAAGATGTTTATTTTCTAAGACTATGCTTTGTATGACGTGTTTGTCATCTCCTTTCGATGTCATTATAAGCGGATTCTACTGTATAAACAAACGAAAAACTGCTTTCATTATGTTCCATAAAACTATTTGGTCTTGTTACGGTTTTATTCATGGAAGAAATAATTAAACTATAATCGTAGACAATTGTTTCTAATTTTACTTATTGTTTCATTAAATTACGTGTATGTAGGCGGCATCGCCTATTGTCGAATATTTTTACTTACGGCAATTTGTTTCATCGGAAAAGTCATTGCAATCAAATCGCCCATCACAAAAAGCTGAGTATGGGAAACACTGATTTCCAGTATTACAAGCTTGTTGGCCAAGAGGGCAGCTGAAAGGTCTAGACGGTGGTGGTGTAGGTGGCCAAAAGGGTGGCTGAGTGGAAGGCGCAAGGGTTGTAGGACAATTATATTCGTCAGAATTATCGCTACAATCTCTGATTCCATTACAACGCAAGTAATCGTTTATGCAAGTTCCATCTTCACATTGAAATTCGCTTTTGTCACAACCTATTGGAAAAGTGCATTACAGATAGAACGAAAATAATGAGCATAGAATACGAACACGGAATAATATGAGGACAATTTTAAACAATTGGGGTATAATTTTTGTTGATTCATAAGAATTAAGGATGTCAAAGGATAACTCACAAAATAAAGTAATAGATTGCAGCGATATTAATAATTCTGTATTATATATATAACCCATGCTAAATATAAAGGATTTGCATCTTCAACTAAATTTTTTCATTATTTCTCCAATCTTAGCAAAAATACGTATACATTAAGGACAACAATGAGACATTTTGTGTAACTTACGATCAGCGAGAGTCGAAAATTATCCAGTAACATTCTTAATTCAACTATTTCAGGACATTACGTTTTTCTCTGAATGTAGCTTTCTAAATAATTAAGGCATATCTATAACTAAGTACCTAATGATGATGTCCTCATATTTTCGAAACTAAAGTAGAATCTACAACAGTGATGCAAAAAAACTGGAATAAAATAGATCAACTATATATTTAAACTTTGGTCAATTTGGTTGAATCATTGAAGCCAATGTTTCTAAAGTTGAAACAGTAAAACGGAATTGCGGTAACATCGTAATAAAATAATAATATTAGAGCTATGTACAAACATTTACATATCATTGGAGGCTATGTACAAAAATGCTCAATGCTATACCGTCTATTTTTAATAACGCAAAATCAATGTGCCAATATGAGTCGTTTTTGCTCACTGAAACTAAAAATAATTTCCTTCACTTTTACTTTTACAATCTTACGTACAAAACTCTGGACTTTTTCTCTTGTTAAGTCTTCAAAACAATATAATATTTAAGTAAATCAAAAAAAAAAAGAAATCCCNTAACCCCGGCGTTAAATTATTATTAACTAGAGCCCCCACAATTTTCGAACATGGGAAAAGAAAACTTTGTAAATTCATTGGCATTGGTCCAGTTAAATGCTACAAACCCAGACGACTCCTAAACTCAGAGTGGTAAAAGCTATTAAATATATTTTATTAGCAGTAAGGTTTGATATTAATGTATTATATTTATTAATTACTATTTCCATCCCTATTATGGGAGCTCCGCAAGGTGAAAGATTTGGTGCCAAAATCCTCCTAAATCCAATTATTTTCCTTTTCTTTTCCTTCTGTTTCCCGTTCACCTGATAGCATTTTAGTTTTGCACTTACTGGAATATTTATAAACCAAAACTTTGATTTTTTGTAGACAAATGAGTAGAACATAACAATAGCAAACGGACGTATACGAACTATAATCCTATTAAAGCTACGACGTACATTATGTACAAAAATGTAATGGAGCAATGCAAAACGTCATTCCCCTGCTGCATCTAAATCTACCAGTAATAATAATAATAGTAAATATGTACATGTAAAATGAGAGACAATGTATATAAATATATAATTTAAACATGAACAATACACGAACACATCTCTAACCGAGAAGGCAGTTTTGCTCGTCGGTAAAATCCCTGCAGTCGTAGAAATTGTCACACCGCAGAGTTGCCTGGATGCAGCTCCCGTCGATACATTGGAACCAATCCGGATCCGTGCAAAAACCTGGCCAGCCAGGCCATAAAAATAAAGTTTACAGAAAAAATACATATTTAGGTTCTCTACACAAAAAATACCATAAAAATTCTAATAAAAAAATCGGTTGTCTGTAAAGTCGGTTTACCGACGATAGTTGAACGTGACAACGTCATAAGAAAATACTGATGGAATGGTTTCATTTTTCAAAAGAAAATTTTAATTTTATTTGTTTGATAGATATTTTGTATGGATGTAGAGAAGGAGGTAAATGGAAATGTATTATTGTATAGCAGCTGTCCACGCGGACGCATCGCTCACTCAAGTAGGAGAGAGACAGATGTCGAACGCTGGCGAACGCGGAGGCCGATTGTGCCTCTTTGTCGCTCGTTCCGCGCTCTCGCTTGCACTTCAAGCCTTAAATGGAACGCCTCAGAGCGAGGTAACGCCGCATGAGTCATGTTGTTTCGTGCGTGCAGCCGGCTCCATCGAATTATAAGACGTTGTCACGTCAAAAATCCTTAGTCCTTTTAAATAGGTGCGAATGCTCCTACACAATTTATAAACCAAATATTTGGTCATAGCAGCATGAATAAAATTGATATTCAAAACTTTCTACTCTGTTTACCCCTGTCAGGTCAATTAGATAAAAAATATTGAATGAATCGTTAAATTTATCATGGGAAACATATGTAATTAACTAAACCAATAATGCTTACTTTACTTAGTTATTTATCTGATTTTATTAATACCACACATTCTGATATTAGTCAAATCTAAATGTTCAATCCGAAATCAAAGTATTTAAGCGAAGGTAGTTCCGAATTCAAAAATTTGTTTTAATATATAAGAAAAAAAACTAAAAAAAAACCTCCTGTAAACTGTTTGAATAACATGTATCTAATTATCTAATTATCTTGGACAATTAACATCTTGAAGTAGTTTTCATTAGATTGGCTGTTTTTTATCTTTCACTTTTTGTGTAAAAATACTCTCTATGTGTGTTTGAAAATCATCACCATTTCATCCAGAAATAACAAAAAGGTATTATTGAATTCTTTGGTAATGTGTACGAAATAACACTCGAATTGAACGAGTGAACTATAAACACAATTGTACTTGCCTAGAGTTGTGTTATATGGTAATCTGTTTAGTGTCCGTAAAAATACGTAATTTTAAATATACCAACCTACCAACCATATTTGTGCAAACAGAGAACAATTTGTAGGTAACCAAATAATACAGAAACCCTCATACATATAAACATATATAGGTACATACATACATACATAGATACATTCATACATACATGTCGAAAGCCCTGCGGATGTAAACGGATTCTGTAAATAACGAACAATACTGTTTCCGTATTAAATTGAAAACTCCACTGTAGGTACAAAGTTGAAAATCCTTAACAATTTATGATCTCTCCAAGTTACTAACTACGTTTTGTTTTATTGTTGCCGTCTCCACAGTATTCGTATTAATAACCGGAAGCGAAGAAAACTTGTACCGCTTTTCGGAGATAGTTGCTTAAGTTTTCTGTTCGCCGCGCCGTTCTGTTTTCTTAAACTACCTGTACCTTGGTTACCACGAACCATAAATCACCCTGAAGCAACGGTACTACGATTCTACACAACAAATGTACCTAATCATACCCTTTTTTTTTTTTAATTAATCAAACATTATTTTATTATACGATATCTATAAACGGAAAAGAAGCATAACTTGAAACACTAGATAAATAATACTAAACTACAAAATAGAAAACATCACAGAATGAGGCACAATTGTTTTAATTCTAAACTTTGAACCAGCCTACAATATCAAAATACTTTTCAATCAAATATTTTCTTGTTTACTTTTTAGACAAAATTAAATCATTATTATTAAACGATTTCTTAAAAACAGATTTCATTTTGCAACAACCTGAAGCTCGCTTATTTCAAATCTGCCTCAACATCTGTTTGAACTACCGAAAAAAGTAAGTTAGTATAATCAAAATAACTTTTATTGGCTCACATAAATTACTCGCGAATTATTTTCATCGTTTAAAATTTGTGATTTTAGCAGAACTTTTATAATACAATAAATTCGTTATTTAATTGTTTTTACAGTTTTAGACCTACGAAAATGATTGAAATAGGAACCATAGCTTGATGTTGATGAAGGAATATAAATGTGAACGTGGACATTCCTTATATCTCAAATTTATTGTTATAAAAGCCTCTGCTTAGAAGTAGTTAGAAGAAATCGTTAATACGGCATCTTATTATACGGTACAAGTGGTGCACATAAAAGATTAAAGCTTGTAATTAATTTGAACTAGAGCACCTGTATTATAAATATACAGAAGAGGCATATCACTCTAAAAATTTTATTAAAACTGAAACTGCACTGCATCGGTTTGTCTTCGTTTATTTGGCGAAAATATGATGGTTAGTAACCAGGACCTCAATTTCCACACGTTGCGTCCGTATGTTGCTTGGCTTTTGCATCGCGTAGTCACTTCTTTGAGCTTTAAGCTCACTTAATTAGTTACAGAGTCATGGCTTGAGTTTAATTAAGAGCTAGTTTTATGCTAGAAAGTTGCCCGCACGATGACGACGCCATACTACCTTTGTGCGCCAATTTATGTAGAGACCAAAAAATTTCTCGTGCAATCATAATGTGAAATACACCGGGGAACATAAAGTCTCGGCTAACTCGATTACTGGTTGCAGGCAGAAAACGGATCCGCTAATTTTACTTTACCAAAATTAGACGACGACCACATCGCTGACAGCAAAGAGAACTAACGATACAAGGATTCGTTAACAACACGTCACGTCGATAGGATAATACATATTAGAGGGAGTAAATTTCAACCCTTTACTTTGATACATAGGTAAATAGCCTAAGTACGCAACCACGTAAATTAATAGATAAGAAGACGACGTAGGTATTAGGTATTACAGAAGAAGTGGAGATGAACAAAAATGCTGACAATAATCTCAAATTATTATTGGAATCATCAGGCAAAGCTAAAAAACACACATGTCCTGGTAACATTTATAAAGCTGGTAGAATATTCTAAATTGTACTAGACCGGAATCATATCTTTCCACCAAATATTTGAAATTTTTCCAGTGTGCTATACCTTCAGGTAAGTAAACCCAGCTAAGTGGGATGGATATCGTTAAGTAGTTACAAATAAAAATGATTATATTGCGAAATATGGACGGTGGGCGCAGCGAAAAAACAAAACGTTAGAAGCGTAAGAAATGTGGTGTTACAGGCTAGAGGTGGATAGAGAAGGTTAGAAATGAGGAAGTATTAGAAACAATAGGAGAACAGGGGTCGTTAGGCGAGATAGGTTGGTAGGACATTTTTTCATGTATAGAGAGCTAGTTGGAGACGTATTAGAAGGAAAAACAGGCGAGGAATAGAGGTAGGTAGACCTAGTTTAGATTACTGTTCGCAAATAGTTAATAATGTGGCATGGACTAGTTTTAAGGAAATTCGTAGATTAGCTCATGATAGGGGAAAAAAACAGAATGCATTGTGAAAGTATTACGTATGTTTTAAAGCGTCCAAAAAAATAAATACGTGTTAACACCTACCACAGTCGCTTTCGTCAGATTGGTCAGGGCAATGTGGTGTACCATCACAAACGAGGTATCGGGGGATACATGTTCCATCACCGCAAGTGTGCTCATTAGACGAACAACTCCTTGGAAGTGGTGGACCAGGACAATCCAGTTCATCAGCGCCACTTGGGCAGTCTCTTCGACCGTCGCACCTTTGTGATTCCGGCAAACATCTTCCATCTTCGCAGGCAAATTCATCAGGTTTACATTTACTTGCTGTGAAATCAGGGAACATTTCTGTCAATGATCTATATAGGAAGAAGCTTTCGCAAAGGATTTTCCACATTTTGAATGTTAGAGCAATAAGGAATTAATTTTGTTGTTTTATTTGTTTGATAAAGTCAAAAAGATCGAGGATAGAATTTTTCTGTGAATGGAAAAAATTTCCCAATCTCTTTCGGTTTTCCTCATCAGGCGTCGCAAAAGGCTCAAATGTTCTGTCCTTTAAAGATCTATTTAATATTTACGAAAAAGCTATAGTGACGGGAAAACACATCAGGTCTGAATCGTTGGTTTTATTACTTACGACAGTCGGCCTCATCTGATCCATCATCACAATCATCATACTCATCGCAGCGGAAGGTGTCTTGAATGCATTTTCCATTACGACATTGAAATTCTCCGGGCAGACATGTAACTGTAAAAAGGTATCAAGTCAGGGTTAGATTTATTTTGCAAGTTAATAACCAAATTTTATACTCTTCTGATGAAAAATAAAATGAAAACGAAAAGCATTTTCGCATGATTTACATCTATAATGGCTTTGAAGCTTCAAGCAAAATAATACTCACCGTGTAGGTACATGTTCATTGTCCTAATTTTTGAAAGGACGGTTAATGCTACGAAAACATTAATGTATATAACAAAAACAAAAGTTACAGTTACATTCTTGTAACGGATAATGAATGAGTGTAGTAACGGAATATTAAAATACCTTATTCAATGAAAATGCCAATAGAATTTGTTATGAATAGTGTTTGGTGTTTAAAATGTACTTCGTAATTTAATGTCAACTATATAGTCACAGGTACATTTAACATAAACATTAATACCAGACATAATAACAAAGAATAGAATATATAAAATCGACTAAATTGTTATAGAAGTGGAATATTAGCTAGGACATACCATAACAACAACATTTCAAAATCTTTTCTAATACTGAACTTTAAAAGATAAAGCACAATATATCGGCGACTTCAGTGTTAGTACCTACTAAGGATTCTACAGGGAGAAATACTGGGCGATTAATAAAAATGTTTTTTTTAGTTCCTACGTATTGTAATAAGGGTGTCGTTTAAATTATTAGACTGAGTAGTACATCTTCGTAGTATTTTCTGCTTATTTTTGTTTAAATATATACAAAAAAAAGTGATGAGGCTCCTGCTCCGATATCTGAACCTTAACGTATAAAAATCACGTACCCAGTCTATTAACTCACTCAAGTTTAGTGCTTAATAGTGATTAATGGTATCGTTTCAAGTTAGTCCTACCACGCACTAATCGGAAAGGACAATCATATCTTTCTACGTATGTTAATAAAAGGACTACATGTGTACAAAATCGCTTTCAAGTTAATTTTATTGGTTTTTAGAAGCGAATACGGGAAGGAAACCGCAAGAGGCGAAGTTTGATCAAAATCGGACATACTCTTGTTGTCGGGTAACGAAGTTGTGGGAAAGCCATGTATGGGACACCCCTGTTCATCTGAGCCATCGCTACAATCGGAATACCCATCACAGCGACGTCTACCGTCCAAACACAGCCCGTTAGAACAACGAAATGAGTCCCCAGGGCAATGAAACACTAACATATTACATCAGAATAACATATTGCTCAATGGGATACACATAACACAGCCAGATATCCCGAAAATGCGAACACGATCGGTAAAGGTAAACTATCTCTAATATTAGATATAATTTAGGTAACTCACGGCAGTGAAATACTAGAAGCAAAATTTGGGAAGTGAAGAAAAGAAAAAGTTTAGAAAGAAGAAATAAGCTTTTTGAAAATAATTCCCCACAAGGAATACTACCTATAAAACGTGAGAATTAATGAATTAATTAATATCGTTATATAAAATGTTTTATTTATTAAAACGGAGGACAATTTCAAACCGGAGGACTCTAAATGATCTCCTTGTGGTATTTATTATTTAGAAAATAGTATTTGACTGAACAAATATGCACCCAAGTTTCCTTTACAATAACTAATTCTTGAATTTGTTTCTGTCTGAAAGTTATAAGCCAATTTTTTCCCTACATAAATAAGGTTAAGTACTGATATCATTGGGCTGTTTTCTATCCAATTACAAAGTAAAACGAAAACGTAGGAACGGAAATGATTTTTTAATTTCGTATCCTGCAGATTGACCGGTCGTCATTTCAAGTTCACCTACCGCAATCTCTTTCGTCTGAACCATCTTCGCAATCCGTTCGATTATCGCATCGTTTCGTGTCGTCGATACATCCCCCGCTACTGCAAGGGAATTGGCTAGGAGCGCAAAGGGTGCAATTTTCTTCATCCGAACCGTCGGCGCAGTCAAATACAGAATCGCATTTTTTTCCATAAATACATGAACCGTCTGTACACCTTACCTCACTCGGCTGACATACTTCCGGAGCTACGAGGACCGATGAAGGAAATGAAAAGAAACACATAAGAAAAATAAAAAAAAAACAAAGAATATAGAAGAATTGGTATGGAACAGACATAAAAGATCTTAAAGAAACAAGTTGAAACTAAAATATATCTCATGTATCTTAATTGTGGGCTAAAATTAAGTACAAAATATATATAGTTCTTCCCGGCCTTCATTTATGTAAATGACGCATTTAAAATTCAAAGCAAGTTTTCTTTGGACTTTAATATGATAAGATTTTCAGAAATTTCCGGAAAATGGCCTTATTTTCAAAACTGGTAGAGTTGAAATTCAGACAAATTAATATTACTCCTGAAAACAATTTAGAATAAAATAACCGACCATATGAAGTCTATGTTAATATGTAAGTGGATTAAGCTCATAACTGTCTGAATTTTCCAGATATAATGTAAAGTAAGCAAATAAAATGGACAGAAACTATTATCTTACGATTAGTAATTCTTTTATTTTCTGTTCCACATGAAAAAGACCATTGGATTTGATTTTGATTTAAAAACAGAAGGAAACAAGAAAAACAAAAGTAGAATACAAACACAACAGTGCAAGGTGACAGTTAATTTTCTCTACTATGTACCCAAACTGTATCAGATTACAATAAATATCAAAAAAATCCAAAGACGAAAATACTTACAACTGGCTGTTCTACTATCGAATAAATTCGACTGTTATGAACTACAAATACTGCAACAGCTTATTAATTAATTGTGTATTCATGCAATATACAATGCGACTTCCGTTTTGCACTTGTTGGTAAATATATAAAGTTATGGATTAGACTACACGAAATGTTTAAAATACGATGTCTAAAGCCTACAGTACTCTCATTAGAATCAATACATTATACCTACATCACCATGTATATTCAGAAGTGCAACACAATTAGCTTAAGCTAAATTTTAAGATTCCGAACTATACAATTTTTAAAAACCTATGTGCTGAAGATACAAAAGAGTTGACTATTTATTAAGAAACGAGTAGATACTGGTATGATTTAGTTTTAACTAACAGCTTTGATTTTAAGAATTTGATATTGTACAATATTGTAATCGACTTCGTACTGTTGTTTCTTTTTTGGCCGTGTCTGTTAGGTACACTGGGTATATGCAGCTGTTGAAATAGAAGATAAGCGAATGAAAGTAAAAAAAAATAGAATTATGAAGTGCTTAGTTGCTGCCACCGGAATTAATACGTACCTAACTAGCGGTAAGTGTAAAAGAAATAGGTAAAAATAACGAAAAGTAGAAGAAATGTTAAAAATTTAATGTAGGCTATCACCGTTGGCGCTTCAGTATACTGCGAGACTTTTCCGAGCTTATTAAACCACGGCCGATTAGCTGGAAAAGTTATCGCAATGCTGAATTGTCAAATGTTTGTTAGTCCTTATAATTAGTGAACATAATTGCAGAAAATAAAAATTAAATTCAGTGTATTAAAGAATAGTCGAGATTCTTTGAAACCCCATATGAGTACGCCCATGTCATAGTCCTATCAAAAGAATGATAGATCGCAAAAACACTTAACAATATCATTAATCAGACTGTGCTTCCTAAGAGTGCCATACATTTTTCGGCATGCTTCAGACTACTATGAAATGAGAAACTAAAGATTTCTTGCGATAATAATTTACGAAAATCGAATGTTATATACCCACCATCGCACTCTTTTTCGTCAGATTTGTCTGGACAATCGTCCAGCAAGTCGCATCGGTATTGCTGGCTGATACATGTGCCATCATTGCATCGGAATTGGTTAGAATCACAAGAAGAAGACTCCGCTACATTGAAAGCAAGCTAGTAAGCACATGATAAGAAATAAAGCATTTTTTTTTTAAGTTATAGATATACGATCCGTTAAGATAAATGATCATTTTGTTATCACTGCTGAACTATCGTACTTTTCACAAAGAAGGGTTAAGTTCGTAAGGAATTTTTCAATCTCTCACAGAAACCACTTATACATAAATGATTGTTTTACCCCAGTTTTTGTATGGGCAATTTTATTTACGATTTCTTTTATGGGAGCAAATTAATGGTTCTGGTTTTAAAAGTTCATCAGTAATAACAAGACGATTATAGATCTTAATCAACCCTTAGTTTTAGTGCCACGACTAATTCTCCACGTAAAGAAGGTGAAACAAGTAAATTATGAAATCTTAAAAGTAAATTAGTAGATAATTTTGTATTTCTTCCACATATTTTAAGATAATAATGTCAGAATCGAGGCCAGGGTGAGACTGATCATGGTCGGCAAATATACAAACATTAACATATACTACAGTAGAATCCGCTTATAATGACATCGAAGGGAAATGACAAACACGTCATACTAAGCGGGCGTCATATAAACCAAAGTCTTAGAAAATAAATAACTTTCTATTTTGGTTAGTTATTTAGTTAAATAGAGAGAAAAACTACAAATTGGATATAATTATTAACAGAAAAAGAAAAAGAACGATGAATTGTAATATCAATATACATAAGAAGGATCAGAAAAATGAGCGGAAGTATTAATCATTTGGGTCATTATAGCCGGATATGTTTTCTTGAGAATCAGTCATAATAAACGATATGTCATTATAAACGAAGTCAATATATCCAAACTTTCTTATAGAGAATTTAATTTGAAAACCAAACTTAACACTGTAAATACTTCATATTAAGCGGTTGGTCAATATAGGAGGAGTCATAATAAACGAATTCCACTGTATATGATAGTTACTAGGTACGTATTGCGTTATACAAATTAATGGTTCATATCTTTAAAATAACTACAAAATTATCTACCATTATTACAACCAGTATCACCTGTAGAAAAAGAATCAACCTTAGTAAAATCCTTCACTAAAAGGCGAAACATCGGTGTTGGTTTGATAAATAAAATTGTTTTATCCCTTACCTTCGTTTTGATTCTGACATTATTGTAAATTCTTCTTCTGTTTTTCTTCTCTATTTAATAATTTAGGTATAATCAATTTTAAAAAACGTTTGTTCTAGCAAAAACTTATTTTATACATTCGAATTTATAATATCCAAACATTTGAGAATAACATAATTGGTAATACAATAGTGGAAAGGACTTACTTATTACGTTTTATATTTTGATTACTTTGTTTTCACTGCGTCTATCTTAATTTTGAATATTTGAACCAATAAAGTACGTTATAGGATAAATATACGATATGATTCAAAATGATGATGGAGAATTAGGTCAATGGCATATTAATTAAGCTAATGATTAACATTAAAGCTAATCACGATTTGACGAATTATAAAAGTCGGAAAGAACAATCCTTATGATAATAACAATTATCAGGATGAACTATAAGTTAAATTGATTTTGATTGACATTATGAACGTGTACTGCCTAATAAAAAATGTCAAATCGTGTTCTTTGCGAAAATTAAAAGAAAGCAGGTTCATGTGATTGATAATAATAAAAAGATCAATGAAAAATTAGTTTAGATTACAAAAACACCAGCCTGCTTGCGAGATGTTACATCATTATTATTTCTTCTCTTTGAATTTTGAAACATTTTAATTGTAAAAATGCGATACAGAATGTTTCTTTGTTAAGTAAGCATTAAAATGACTTACATAATATAGAAAAATAGAATAATAAAATAACTAAGAAATCTTTGTAAGCAAGCACAATAAAAAGTAGCAAGAGATACAAAAACTATAGGTCGAACTAATGCTTGCTATGTGTGAAAAATCTATAAAACAGACCATTAAGTAACTAGAAGTACAGCATACTACTAATTAACAAGTACATGATTAATTCAGCTCTGCTATAACGAATCTGTTGCAATACTAAACATTTGAAAAAGTTATGCTTCAAGAGGACATAAAAAAACTAATAAGACGTAATGATGACTGGTTTTATGAAAATTTTTAATTTATTAGCCAATGTCGTCAATAATTTTTATATCATTCTAATAGGTAAACTTCACAACAAAATTTAAAATAAAACAAATACTTAAATATTTTGATTTTATAGCTAAAACCTTCACAAAGAAATACACAGTTTACTTAGTATTTGAGATTCACAAAATTGTTTTGTTAATTATTAGATGTAACATTTCTAGACGTCTGAAGTTTGTTTTAAAAAATATATGTTTCGTAATGTTTTCATAACCTTCATTAACTGTCGAACCTATTATAATATAAAAATACTAAAAATAAATTGAAAGTGGTAGGTAGGCACTTATAAGGCTTGCAACTTGCAAATTTCAAGAAAGAGTTAGTTAAGTCCCTTTGTAAATGTGACTATCAAATATAAAATAAATCTTGGGATAAATTTCAGTTCACGTACGTAGTTTAAAGGCAATTCATGAAATTAATCGGATTATTGAAAGTCAAAACAAACAATTCGATGCGTTATGTTTGTAAAATTCTGTAATAATATATATAAATTTGGAATTGTTAAATTTTACACTAACAAATAAAATTCCTGTTGTGAAGTTTACCGGTCCGCATTTGAAATGGTGTTTTGTTAATAAATTGTCGCTTAATTGCATCACTCCCTGTTCAATTTATCTACCATTGGATCGAGTCCATCTACCTCGTTATATACCATCAGTATACGTGTAGATGGTTAGTCGGATGAAGGTGAAGGGTTGAACAAGGTGGGTAAGCATCAGTATTATCAGCAACGTACCGATCGAAGGTGTTTGGGGGGTTGGCGTGGGGCAGTTAACTTCGTCGTTGCCGCTCGGACAATCCCTAATACCATTACATTGCTTGTACCCCATAATACAAAATCCTGCCGCGCACTGAAATTCATTTTCTGCACACGTGTTTTCTGCTCCATCTGGTAACGCTTTCAAATTTTTCCAATTAGACGGCTACGAGCTTACATCAGGACGATTGAACATGCTATTAATAATTTTCTTTCCCCTATCCCGTTTTCCCTTTCGTTCTCTCCCCAGAAACGCAAAACCCGCTCCCCGTGTGAGTGCATCGTATCATCGCTTTGCCTAATGTGTTGTTATTATTATTACATCAATCGATCTAGCGTGCTGCCCGTAATAACCGCGATAAAATTTCTTTTTTAGCAAGACATAAACGCTTTTTAAAAGACTTGATGCAATTAGTAAGCATACGTAACAGATACAAAATATTATATGTACACTAGTATAGTAAGTACCTTCACGAAAAGTAGATGTTGTATTAGATTGCGTGCGTACATCTACAATTTACATGCTAAAAATCCTTTGCCGAACCAATTTCAAAGCCTTATTTTAACATTGCGAAAAATGCCCTTAAAAATATTTTTATTGCCGTGCAACACCAACAGCATTGTGCAGACTTAAACAATTTAATAGATAGATACCATTTACAACAAAATAAAAAATCTTTTACATTCAATTTTATATCTGGACCGTTAAAAAAACTGTTTCTCAAAGAACAGACTTCTTTGGATTCTGTTCACCCATAAGTAGTATGATTTAATAAAACGGCTGCAGGTTTGAAAACCTTAATTGCTGATGCAATCTTTATATTCTTCGATTTCATTTCCAGTCAGTTAATATTATACATGAAAATGAAAATGATTGACACACTTAATTTAGGTTTTGGAAATGATTAAGCCATCTATGCAAAGTCAAATATTTATTATTAACTTTGTAAGAAGTTCAAGCTTTGTAAGAAGTTTTAGTAATATTGAAGAATTATTTACGAATATTTGGACATGATATCGTAGGAAGCTTTAAGATAGTCGAAACTTGTGGTTATTTGTTTTATGATGAATCCTCAAGTAAAGGACGAAAGGAGCTTGTTGAGTTGCAGTGTAATGTTTTGTTCATATCGTAGTATTACATGTGATTGAACTGCTTACTCTACATGCAAGTTAGTTTTATGGTATCGCAAAATGCAAGCATTAGTATTATAAGCCAATTCTTCTGGTTGGAAAAATCGTGTAGCAACGATAGATTTACATCATTTATTAATTTTACCAAAATAACGAAATTTAAAGTTTTCCTACACGATCTTTTGGTTATATTTAAGTTTGGTTAGTTGAAACCATGAGGATTGAGGAATTTAGTAATTTTCGTTTAAAATAAATACAGAGCGACATAATAAGGAACATAGACCACATAGATGTAGGTGTTTAAGGAACATGTTTCTTTGTAATATTTACATACACTGCAAAGATGAAAGTAAAGTTTAATCAGTTGACAGTTAATTACGAAAGAATAACGAAAAATTCTCCAACATTCAGTTTTTCTTTTTTTATAGAGAGAAATCGGAAAAATTATTTTAACAAATTATACATATAAAAAAAACTGTAACACATCTAATGAACCTTTCGGGGATGGGGGCCTTCATCTAACCCCCATAACTTTTTATGAGGGTGAGACCGCCACGAACTTTTTATGGTACACTGGTGGGGGAGACCTCCTCTTTCGATCCCACCCACCCCCACCCCATTTGGGCCATCATTTAGACATTTACCAAATCTTTCTCAATTAGTATATGTCAAAATAAATTGAAAACTCTTTAAATCTTGGACAAATAAAGGGCAAGTAAAACAGCAAAGTGTATAATATGGTTATTGGTCTATGTTACCTTGTGTGGTGTTAGGTGTGGGTGTAAATGCCGGAAAAGTGCAGTCATTTTCATCCGAATTGTCTTCACAGTCTACTGTTCCATCACAGTATTTTTCGTATCGAATGCATGAGAGTTTATTGTGACATTTCCAAGTACCGGGTCGACAAACAACCTCCCTCGTTCCTGCATGCCCCCAAAATTGCCACAGCGACATGCAAGTAATTAACGCAATCACTTTAGTATGCATTACGCAGACACCTTCTGCCATTACTCTGTTGCTTTATATGATGGTTAGTTCAAGTTGTTAGTTTACAATCATTCATATACTTTCAAAATCATACAAACTAGATGCCAACCAGCAAAAAATTTACAATTGAAGTTTTCATTTATTATTTATTAACAAATATTAAATTAAATTGTAATTGCGACCTTTTTTGGTTTTGAAGAATAAGAAAACCTACAAATTTTTAATTTAGTTAAATACCTAAGTCAAAGGGTGCTCTTTAATAACATCATATAAAATTTGAATATTTTAATAATTCACTAGTAAAGATACAATTTAAATCAACATTAGAAGGTAGGCAATTAATGTATTTATTTTCCTATGACATTTAAGTTTTATTTGCCGTACACATTAAAAATATCAAATAGATATAAAATATCATTTAGCCTTTAGCCAAAGATGGAAAAAATTGCTGGTCTAACTCCGTAGAATTTCATTCATACCAAAGTAATCAAAAGGGTTTAGTTCTGATATTATGTAAACGAAATAACGGAAAATGAAAAATCAATCATGAAAATGTTATTTACAAATATGGCAGTGGAATTGCAATCTAGTTAGCATAATTAATTACACTGGGTGGTTCTATAGTAATATATATAAGTAACATTAATTCCATCAGAATTTTATTTACGAAAAAAGACAATTCTAAATAAAACACTTTTAGTTCGTACATACTTACGGTAGAAATAAATTGTTCAAAACTTAAAAAATGCATTCTAATAAATAATAAAATCTATTTCGGAGCATTCCTATTAACTACTAGACAAAGATACCTTGAAATATTTGTAGCTATTAAACGCAAGATTTATTTATGTAAATCAAACTATTGAAATTCAATAGAAGACCAAGTGTATTCCTAATTCGAGATAAATTTCGAATAACTACAACAACTGATACAAAACAAGAAGTACTTAGGTTAACAATAGGTTGTATACAGAGTACAGTAGAAACAGATAGATCTAGAAAACGAATCTTTCGATAAGAAAAGAGGAAACAAACATAACTAGATACAACATATTTCACAGTCGCTAACATTGATTCAACGTAGACATGGACTGAGGATCTTGGGGGAAGAATAGTCTTACCATTACAAAATTCCTCATCACTGCCATCCTGACAGTCCCGAATTCCATTACATCGTTCCCATGGGTCTAAGCAGCCGCCATACCTTTCACATGCAAATTGGTCGTTCCCACATTGGGCTGAATGTTAGTAAAAACAGAAATGTATTCTTTTATAGGGCAGATTAAACAGGGGAAAGCAAATAATTCCTAATCTGCTCCTTAAGAACAATATTACAACAAAAGAATTTCCAGAAGAAATCTCAAAAGAACATACAGGAAGGGCTTCAACCTAATGGTCGGATGAGAAGTCAAACACGACACGAATAAAAATTAAATGTTTTACGTCGGTCGGCTCGAACGTCCCTACCGTTGCACCGTGCATCGTCGAACCGTTGCACCGCGCAAACTGCCAAACGTTGTTTTTCTATCGATATTGCTGGTATTGTTCAATATAACATGATGGAGTATTTGATTTATAAATTTTGTATAAAGAGTGGTTAAATGTACTGTGTTTTGTAGTGAATATGTTTTCCATGCGTAAATGTAAAGCATAACAGTGAATTACGTGCATGCCTCTAAAACTTTCCCATGTTTTGTTAAAACGTGACGTAACGAATGTGTTATTATTATTACAGTAATGCCAATTAAAAAAATTAATTTAGTTATTATCGGCATTTCTGGAATAATATAGACGTAAAAATTATTGTACAATAACATACCAAAAAATTCTGACTTTAGAATGATCAACTAGTGGTACCAGTGGTGAAGGAATTACCATACAATAAAGGAGTCAGAATTATTTACTATGTTTTTGTAATGTATTAAGTACGTTGAATAAATGTCTGTGTTGTGTAAACTAACCACAAGCCTTTTCGTCCTCGCCATTTGGACAATCAGCGTTGCCATCACATCTATGTGCAATGTTCAAACATGTTCCGTTATCGCAACGGAACTCGTCTAGGCTGCACCATACGCAGTTCAGTTCGTCCGAGTTGTCTGCGCAATCCACTTGTCTGTTGCAGCGCAAAGATTTATCAATGCACTTGCTTGCATCTGCGCACTGCCACTCGTAATACTTGCACGGACCGTCAGCTATCGAATCAAGCCATTCATGCATTGTCAGTCGATGAAAACGAAAAGTGATTTCACTTGATTGCTAATCGGATTGGAAAGCTTCACTTCCCTTTTACAACGGCCAAAGGAAAGGATCTCGAATAAAATGAAAAACAGACAAAGGACCATATCACTTACATGCCTTAAACCCGAACGGGAACGATTTAAAATGATTGTAGTAGTTCATTCTGGCCTTGGGAGATTATTTCCTTGATTGCAGAAGATGTGCAATGAAACAAAGCCTTTGTCTGCGGTAAATAAATCGGACCAATATAAAAGGAGTTCAGGTACTACTTTCGAAAGGATATGCTTCATTTTCGAAATTGGTAAAAGCCAAATATTTATCTGATTTTAGAAACAAAGCCGATCCTTGAAGGTTGAACATCAAATGTTCCGTTCCGTCATTTTATAGTCGACCCTAAGCATTTCAAGTTCTAATTTATATTTTGCCGTTTAGCAATCAAGAGGAAACACTTTCTGAAAGGTTATCGACTCTTTGGTTTGGCACTGATACATGAATATGCATTTAAGTTGGCAAATGTACCGACTTGTTTTCAAATTAACAGTTAATTGTTCAAATTCTATTTATAGTTTTGTTGAAACACCGTAAATTGTAATCATCCCGAAAATAAAATTGTTTAGAAAAATATGGGTACATAATTATAAATGTTGAGATGCCAGCATTAGTAGGATTACTATTAACTGCTTCTTATACAGGATGTAATAGAAATAAGTGCAGAGCTTACAGGAGCTGACAAAGCACTGTAAAACATGAAGTCTGTATGTCCGAAAGTTCACTGTTTTCGAGAAAAACGTAGTTGAAAGTACAAATAAATTCAATTCCGGCCCTGGTAAAGAAATACGGACCGCACCACTGCACTTAATCAGCTGGTAATTACCATCATCAGTGTAGTATTTATTTGTTAGTTAGACTAAATGTGATACAGAGTGTTTATGTTAACAGCCGCTTATTATTTTAACGTTTAAACCTTTACACGTTTACGTTTACATTCTCCATTCATGTAGCTGCAGAGCTTTTATCGCATTACGCTATTCAGTAGACAATTATATTGCCAATTCACGCACAGGACCGGCTTCGCATTGTAACACTGTTCAAAGCTTAGCATTTATTTCTGTTACACACTGTGTTGTTACCTCTTGATTAAAACCACTTTTGCTACTTGTACTCTGTCTTAAAAAATATTTTTATGTTTATTCTATCGTTTGTAAACGTTAACGTTAATTTTTAAAAACATGACGGCACATTTAAAGTATTTTCAGTATCAGTGCCACAAATTTCGTTGTAATAAATCTAAAATAATAATTAATATGTACAGCGCCTCCACCTTATTTTTGTTATATACTTTGAAGCGAAGAAACTGATATTATTATCATCGACATCCCGTTTGATTGACGACTAATTAAAATATGAAACAAGCTATTTGCTAACTTATTAAATTGTTAAATTCATGGATTGTCAATTTGGTTTTTGAACGTTGTTTTAATTAATGATTCATGGCTTTATGTTTTTATCTATCAGATAGTAGAAATTTAAATTTAACACCGAAAAACAACACAGCCGGTCATTTATTATTTTTTATGTGAAAATCCTATTATTCAAAATATATGTGTCCAAACTTATTAATTCATGGTTGCATTCATGCAATAATATGCTAAAAGAATCATCAATTAAAAGCATATCGTTTTATGTCAAAAAGTCAAGTTGATGTAGTTTGAAATAAAACACTAGCTGTATTTAATTTTAATTGCAGACAATTACTCCATTTTGACTTAGTGTCTACTTCTTAATATACACAGCAGTTTGCTATATTTCTTTGTGAAGTGGAGATTGTCAGAAAATAAAATTAAAATTTTCTGTTAAACTTACTCTGTGTGTGTTTTTTTAGCTGATATTTAGTATTGTCAGTATTTTGAATAGTATCATTTTTAGTGTGGCAAAAATATCTTAAACGTTTCTTTTTGAAAACATTAACAGCTTCCTCGTTCAAAGTAAATAAGTAATTCATGCAAATCTAGTTTCAATACTCTCTTAAGCGGATATTTTAGAATAACCATTACCGCGCCCACCACCAAGTGGTAGTGTGTAATTAAGGTAATTGTTTATTTTGTGTTATTAAAAAATAAATTAAATTGGGTGCATACAGCTGCATCCTATTTCGTCCGAGCCATCGTTGCAGTCTGTAGTTCCGTCACATTTTCGACTCGAAGAAATACAGTGACCATTGGAACATTTGAAATCATCATCTTTACACGCTGTAAAAAACCAACAGTTTATCGAAGAGAGATGTCGTAAAGATTAAAAAAAAAAACAGGTGACCGTAGAGACAAACAAAAGCACCGTTTTGACCACTTTTGAGATAACATGTAGACATGTGAATGTAAAATTTAAAAATATGAACAAAACAAGGTGTAAAAGATTTCACCCGCTTAACTCGGTGAATCCCCACAGAAATGTGCTCTACAAACAATTTTGTTCGGTCACCGAAATATAATAGAAGAAAGCGGAAATGAAATTGTTACTAACAATAAGAGAATGTAAAATGAAGACGTCACAATGTAGAATAGAAAAGATCGATCAACATAAATTTTCCGCCGGTTTAACATGAAAATATCCACCACACCTTGGCTTGCTTCATGTCTTCGACGGCGGAAGGAAAGCAGTTTTTAAAGTGAAATGTTATTCAAGACGAAAATTGGACGTACGACTACAAACATATAATAATATAGTGATAGTGGAAAGACAAAAAAAAAATGGAAATTGCCAAGATGTATACGTCTGTAGAAGAGGCAGATAAGTGAAGAATATTTTGCCAACACTTACGACAGCTTCGTTCGTCGGAAAAATCTTCGCAATCATATTTTCGGTCGCATCGTTTGGATATCGGAACACATCTTCCATTTCCACAAGTAAACTCTTCGTGTGGATGGCATCGTTCTATTATTACGAATGTTTTTTAAGTGTTGATTTTATTTATGTATATGTATCTAGTTACAAATTATAGTAGATTAAGGTCAATACTTGACAATAAAATATTTCCGTTTGCATTTAAGGTCTTCAAAAGATTTTTTTTTAAGGACAACGGTCTCCATGCGATAAATATAAATACATGACTAGAATAATTGGCTATCTCAACGGAATTATGAAATATCATTTCCCTAGAGAGAAAAAGAATGCCATGTATGGTAGACTTGGATCTCATGAGCCAAAGCTGATAGAGAACTTCTGATGAATACGGAGACTCTTGACCCAAATAATGAGTTACGAAACCCATGCACTTTGTGAATAGAAAGATTTTAAAAATTCTGCATTTGTTGCAGTAATAGTTAAAATGGTCTTTGAAATCATTGATTTCAGATGTCGTATTTTCAATAATAATCCTCAAGGCCCATTTTGACTTCTTCTGCAACGCAGCTTAAGTCTCATGCAAAAATTTTGCTTGCAAGTATAGCTTCAATATGCATTTTAATCATCTTTGATGAAGCTCATGAAGCCTAAGTCTACCCGAAAATGGCAATTTGTTTCCTATTGGGATTAAAATTTTTCGACGTACTTATGTAATAGCCAATTTTTCTGGCCAGATATGAAATTCAGAACCTGAACTATGTTGGCCTATATTATTATCCCTCTTTTGTTCATTTTATATTTTTAAAGGAGCACTTCTAATAATTATAACTAGACAATTCAAAACAAAAGCTCTCGAGGAAGGTAATAACCTTGCGCGTCAGCGAAACGTCGAGGGATAAAATTTATTCAAAACCTTGGCCTAAAATAATACCATACTGTGAAATCAAAAGGCTTAACAACATATTAAAAAGTTTCTGGGAGTAATAAGGAAATTTTCGAAGTCACTGAGAAAATTTTCCAGTTTATTCGTTTCCTGTTTCTGTGATCACGACGCAGTAATTAACATAAAATCTATTTAAATCTGTCCGACCTGTGTGATTACAGAATTGTGTTTGGCATCACGTTTTTGAAACTCAATGGTGCTGTAATTGAAAATTGTTTACACTTCAGGGTAATTAAACGTGAAATATTAACTGCTTGTAGCGTAACAGGTTCACTGGAACTGGGTTTGAATTTCACACATTTATAACAAAAATAGTTTTATTTTGTTGAATAATAGAAAACTTCAATACGGTTTCAGGAAGTATGGATTATTTTACAGGAACTTAATATGATACGCTTTTTTAATTTCAAATTCAGTTTCATATTTTGTTGTTTTAATTATCCTGCTGAGGATAAAATAGCATCCGGTTAATTATGAGGATTTATTCTAAGTAATCTCTTGACAGCTTTTTCATTGTCCAATTCAATTTTTATCATGAACATATTGTACTTTTTGATTGATTGATCTAAACTAATTCATACACCATTCTCTCAAATAAAAAAGTCCGCAACCAAACGGTGTTAGTAAACTCAACCAAAAACTGCCAGTTTTTTTTAAGCGTAGTCATACTTAGCAAAATAAGTATTTTGTCTTCATGCCACAAGTGTCGCATGCACGCTATCGTGCACGCTGCATGCGTAAAATATTTCTGTGAAAATGCAAAGGTACTTTATATGCATCGGTGCGAAAAATAATGAGATTAATGTAAGTGAATTCTTACGTGGTTGTGGGCAATTTTTTTCGTCCTCTCCTTCCCTACAGTCCGGTCTTGAGTCACACAGCCGTCTTCTATCGATGCAAGTACCGTCGTAACAACGAAATTCGTCAGATCTACATTGTGATGCTGTAACAAAAGAATATTCATCAAATCTCCTTAATTTACTTCTTTTTCAATATACATATTAGTTTGCAACTAGTTTATCGCTACGTTTCCAACGTTTCGCACATAGGTATATCACAACTCTCAATCCATTGTTCCCAAATTGAAAAAACTATCATCAACAGAAAAAAATATAAGAAGCACCACCTTTATTTTTTAGAAAATGCAATGCGGAAATGTAATGCATTTTGAATTTTGTTTATGTAAATATTTAAATCAACTATCACAATATTGCAATAACACCTTAAAATGATTTTCTTCTTTAGTCATGTGTATTTTGTAATTACCTAATGGTTCTAATAATTTCACGTTATTTCTTCAGTTTCTTTAAGTTATCTATTGTAAATGCATTTCCTTAACCATTTCCCATTAATTTCGTTAATGAAAAAAGTGATTGATTCTGGAATTTGTTCTAATCATACTTGTAAGTAATATGTTTGAGAAAGTTGTGGAGTCCAATTTCGAAAAGTTTCAGGAAATGTAGTAAATAAGGACTTTTACATTGAAATATTACTATAGAACATAACTGTTAATTAGTCTACCTTATACATACTTAAGAGTCCTTATTGAACACGAAAATACCGAAATTAATAAAATTCTTACACAATGCAGTAATACCTACGAAAACCGCAATTAATTTTTACTTTTGAAATATTTCAATAATTTGGTATCACATGGATAATAAAATAGATGTAGTAAGTCAATATCTTGAATTGGTATGACGCACAATGAAAAAACCAATGTGGCTTAATTTTAATCCAAGGTATTTAAGATTAAAAAATACTATAGATTTCGTACGATTGGTAGAACGTGAAGAGAATTTTACCAAACTAGACCGTGATTAGGAAAAGCCGAGCGGATTTTAAAATCAATTTTCTTTGCGACCCTCCTAATAATACAAAATAATAATGAATATTTAACAGCAAAATACTAAAATTAACATCAAATTATGTCACATCCTTGAATTAATATTTGAAGTTTCATTTATACACATAATCGTCCTCTAACTTCCCACCAGTCAATATTAAGTCTCGTTTTATTCTCCCTTCAATTCGGTTAGCGTCCCCGGATTTAAGCAAAAGAAAATGATAAAATGGGTGGGCTAGGTACCGAAGCGCCGTTTCATAACAGGTATGTTTGTAGGTGTGGGACAGGCACTTGCATTCCTCAATTTCTCGGTTATCACAAAGGAAAACGTTCGGTTCCGGTGTTATCGTCGCTTTCCATTCTGGCATGAATTGCGATCCGTAACGCGACGCCTGGCGCGTGAACTCAACCGGTAGCAAGGGAAACGCCGCGCCGTTAGTGACGTTGGTGGCGTCGCTTCGATGAGGTGTCGCTCGCCTCTTCACGTCGTTTGGTCTATTTGACTTCAAAAGTACGTCAAAGCCACTTAAGCATTATTGCGCTCAAAACTAGTTCACAACTATTCTAAATAATCGGGCGAGTTGGACCCTACATAGTTTATTGCACTATTCTAAGCGCATATAACATTACAAACTGTTTTCTTTGTGGAAAAGCGAACCAGACGTCTATTATTGAAATTGTATTCTGAAATGCCCGAAACAGACACAACAGAAATTTTAATTGAATGCGGAAATCAAACGTAGATTAGATTACTGTTCACAAACAGTTAAGGATGTTCTAGTTTTAGGGAAATGTGAAGATTGGTTCAGGATAGGAAAGAGAGTGGCGGTGCGTGTCCGACCAGTCTTAGGACTGACGACTCTGAGATGATGTGGAGATCAGAGTCATTTAATTTTTGTCAAAACTCGACATCCAATATTTGGATTTATAAGGGTGATAATTGAAACTATTACGTTAATATGAAGTTATTGCTACAATTAATTTTACTTACTAGAGTTTTTGTTAATAATTATTAATTTCCAGATGTTGCAAATTATGGGATGAATACTTATTATGGTATAATAATAATAATACTTAACAAACTTAGCAAGTAAAATTAATTTTAACTGTATTTTAAAATTAACATAATAATTTTAATTGTTAGCTTTAAACAAGCCTAACGTTGGTTGTTAGTTTTTAACAAAAATATCACTAAAATTTTGATTTCTGCATTTAATTGATAAAAACACTAATTAATTTTATAAAGAACAAAGTTGCGTTCTCTTTTTTGAAACTCTACAAATCCAATAAGTTCTTTTTATTTACAATTAGTTTAGCATACGTGCAATAATATACTGCTTGTTTCAACTTAGGATCTAAGAAATTTTGTCTGTATCGATTTAATGGGATTCCCATAAGGAATTAATGGCAAGATTTAAGAAACACTTAATAAATCTAGCTACTGAAACAATTGTTGAAAATTCCAAATCATGCTTATACATATATTTACTTGACATCAAAAATACGTAGAAAAAGTGATAGAGATATAGAAAACAGACCTTTGTTGTCGATTTACCGATAAAACCATCAATAAGTTTTAAAAAGAAAAAGTTATCTATAAGAATAAGTTTGAAATGTATCAAAACTTTATTCATTTTTACTTATTTTTATATTTATGACTGTCTTGTTTATACATCATATGCTTGGCTAGACCCAGTTTAATAATTTATCGGACAACTGAATTGCCCAAAATCACTAAAAAAAGGAGTCCAAACATTAATGATGTAGGTACGCATGATATTTTTCCTGTCATCTAGTCAAACTAGTTCACCCCCACAATTTCCTTTTGTTGTCGGCTGTCATTTCGACGACTTAGATACAATATATGGAAAATTTATACACA